TCCAACTTCCGCTATCCAATCTTAATCGGTCTCAACACCAGTATCGAATTCGGTCTTCACCTTAACCTAGAAGATAAGACTGTCAGCATTCGATCGCCAGAGACTCAAGAATTAGTAACCCTGTTAGGAGAAACACATGAGAAAGATCAACTTGCCGCTCTCATCGAAAAACATAAATCTGCCTTCGCCCAAAATGAAACAGACATTGGCCGCATCACCGTTGCCAAACATCGGATAACCACTATTAACCATCCTCCAATTCAACTTAGGGCCTATCGTCGTCCTCAAGCCGAACTTGATGAAATAAGTCGTCAAGTTAAAGAATACAAAGAAAAAGGATTGGTTCGTGATAGTGAAAGTCCTTGGGCCTTCCCAGTCACATGTGTACCAAAGAAAGATGGTGGTACACGACTCTGCATAGATTTCCGTCGTCTCAATGCCCTCACCATAGATGACAAGATGCCGCTGCCACGGATCAATGATGTCATTGATCGTCTTCAAGGTAGTAAGTACTTCTCGACACTTGACGTCAAATGGGGATATTGGCATATTGAGATGGACCCAGAAAGCATCGAGAAAACTGCTTTCGTAACTCATGAAGGACACTATGAATGGCTCGTCATGCCATTTGGTCTTAAAAATGCCCCAGCAACTTTTCAAAGAATTCTCCAAAGAGTACTTGGTTCTTTACTCTACAACGGCGCAATAAATTACTTAGACGACATCATCATCTACAGCAAAACCTTCTCTGAACATCTTCAACTCTTAGAGAAGATCTTCACTCTTTGCAAGGATAACAACATCAAACTGAAGCTATCTAAATGCAACTTCGCGCAAAATGAGTTGACTATCTTGGATATATCATCAGTGAAGAAGGAGTTAGAACATCTAAACAAAAGGTCAAAGCTGTTGAACATTTTCCTGTTCCAAGTAATGTCAAGGAAGTTCGTCAATTCTTAGGACTTGCAAACTATTACCGTCGCTTCATTGACAAGTTCTCAAACATTTCTAAACCCTTAACCAGACTCCTCTGTAAAAACATCGCTTTCCACTGGAAGGATGAACATCAAACCGCTTTTCAAATCCTCAAAAACAAGTTAATCAATGAACCAGTTCTCGCTATTTACAACAAAGATGAACCGTGTACCCTTTACACTGACGCTTCAAAGATTGGTATTGGAGCTGCGCTAGTTCAAACTGACAAACATGGTCTTGAACATCCCATTGCTTATTTTTCCAAAGCACTCAACGAACACCAAGGCAACTATACCGCATTTGAACTTGAATGCCTCGCAGTTGTAGAAGCTGTTGATCACTTCGAAGCTTATCTTAGCCTCCCATTCAAAGTCATCACTGATCATAGTGCATTGAAATGGCTCCTCACGCTCAAGAAACCCAAAGGAAGACTCTATCGTTGGAGTATCAAGCTCTCTACTCGATCTTATGAGCTATTTCATCGAGCTGGCGTCTCTCAACAACACGTTGATGCCTTATCAAGAGCCCCAGTTACTTTCCTCATCGATGCTGATGAGATCAAACAACAACAAGCCACCACTGACTTCTCGCATATCCAACAATCTTTCAAAGTGGATGGCATCGTCACCGTGAAAACTCGTGGTTCCACTCGAGCTATCATTCCACCAACACTTCGTAATAAAGTCTTGCAGCATTTTCATGACGATTACAGTCACCCTGGGAAAAACAAGACTGTGAAACTTATTACTCGTTTCTATTGGTGGCCTCATATGATCTCAGACATCAAGGCTTATGTCGATTCATGCCGTTCATGCCAGCTTGTCAAGCAAACCCATCTTCCAAGTATTGGTCAAATGATCCTCCCTTCAGTTGATCTCGAACCTGGTGATCTCGTTGGCCTCGATACTATTGTCATGGGACCTGCAGCTGGTAGTACTCGACACAAGTACATTCAAGTCTTCATAGACCACTTTTCACGATATGTTTGGGCCTTTCCCACAACCACCAACACATCAGCATCCGTAGTAACTCTCTTGGACAAACTTATCCAATCTGGTATTCGCATCAAAGCTATTCTAACTGACTGTCACAAGAACTTTCAAAGTACAGTCTTGAAACAAGCTTTTAAACGCCACAACATAAAGCACATCTTCAGTACTCCATATCATCCACAAACCAACGGTATTGTCGAACGCATCAATGGAACTTTGATGGTCAAAGTAAGAGCTGCTTTACAAGATCATCCTCATCGTAAATGGACAACGCTCTTACCAAAGATTGTCACTGATTACAACAATACTCCACATGACATCACTGGTTATGCTCCTGCATATCTCTTCTTTGGAACCGATCCAACTCCGACTTTCTCCGGTGAAACCAACAATCTCCAAGAAGCACGAGAATTAGCCAGGACCAGGACACGTACGGAACAAGAAAGAAGGAAACAAAGACATGACGCTAAGCATCCCGTCGCAAACTTTGAGATTGGATCCAAAGTACTCAAGGAAGTACCATTCAACCATCCATCCAAGACTAAAGTCACAGCTAAGTATACAGGTCCATACTATGTCATCAAAAAGATCACGGACGTAACATACATCATCTCGGAATCACTTTCAGGAACACCAATTCAAGCTCATTCATCCCAGCTCAAGCAGTTTGTTGATAGACAACAAACTCAAATTACAGTGGGCGAATGTGATGATGATTAACTTCAATAAAACAAACCAAGCACAAAAACTTAAAACATATGTTCCTCTCTCTCTTTCAACCTTCGCCACTAGGGCTTTTTCAATATAACTTAATGCATTACAAATGTATCTTTCCAATCAAAAGCAGGTAACCCTAGCGGTAAATGTAAACGTGAAATATTGTACTTTTAACTACGCTTATTTTACCCATGATATTTATATGTTTATTATGATTATTTTTTATACTGAATTTAACTAAACCATTTGTACCCTGACATCTCTATGTCCCATGGGAGACATATATACTCCGAACTTTTCTCTAACATTATCAATAAAGTTTGACTTCAACTTTCAACTTTGCCTCTTCAATCCCTTGTGCTGCCCTCTCTCCTTCTTACTCTTCACTCGAAACCGAGAGGTTTTAGAATAGTAAGATCCCTCCCCTTTCTCTCTTACTTTTCACTTTTGGTTCATCTCCATAGAAAAGTAAGTTAAATCTTCCTCTTTTGACTGTTAACAGTTGTGAACGGTCACAAATCAATTCCACTAAAAAGTTAAAATGTTCAAAGTTTATTTAATCTTTTTGATTGCTTTCAGTTCATTCAATGCTTGTTTTGCTGGCAGTAAAACGAACTCAGGTAAGTCGTTTAACAAAGACCTAGAAACAAATTTTAAATATGTTAAGGATGAAATTGATCAATCGAAAAAATTAAAGATAATTAAATCGAAAATATGAGAGAAATACAAGGATAGTTTGCGGATATGGTGAATGGTCGCAAGAATGAATATTTCTTGGAAATTCGATCGCTATAAATTCTTGCTCCCAATGACCATTCAACATTCAAAGCTATTTTGTGTTCCGATATTTTCAATTGTTCAATTGCTTCAAAAGTTCAAATTCGACTGTTTAAAGTGTATTTAATCTTCTTGATTGTTTATTTTTCTGTTGTCCATGTGTTATCAGAAGATGAAATTACGACGGCCTTAGGTAAGTCTCTTAGAGACAGTATGGATGCAATACTCGAATCTATCAAGGATGCGATTGACCAATTCAAAAGTATTAGAGAGGAACAAATCAACAAGTTGAAAGAAGTACGAGAAAAGCTTCAGAACATGCTGATTGATCTTAGGAATAGTAATTCTGCTTCTCAAGCATTACACTCACTGTGAAAATACATTTTCCAGTGCCGTTCATAAGTGCGTGAATGGACAATCAACATATATTGTATTGATTTTTCTTTAATAAATTAATAAGTTCTGTAAGAAATGCAATAAAGTGATTTCCAATTGAAGTATCATTTCTCTTCAAATTACATCTCAAAATTGGTTTTACAACTCACTTAAAAAGTCAAAAATTTGAAATTTAACAAAAAATTGCTAATGTCAACTAACAATTGAACACATCGTCTTATGCACTTAACATGAAACAAGCATGATTTTGTATGTGCTCATTTGAAAATCATTAATAATTTAGTGAAACTCAAAATTGATCCATTGGATGTTGATAATCGGAAATTAGCACGTATCAAAAAGAAAGTGTTGAAAAAGAGTTACATTTCTTCTCTTATAGTTCGATAAGCTCAAATATTTATTTCAATCTATAACAATCGAAAGGCCGGTACATTTATACTTCCATCGAGTCTGGCTATGAAGTTTCATTTGATTTCAATGACTTGTGCATTCGAAAAATTTGCATAAACTGTCATTGAAATGGTTAACTGTTTGTATGTTTGCACAAATGCGACATTTTAATATAATGCGTTTAAAGGCTGACTAATGAGGAAGGTTGGGTGAAAACGCAAATAATTTATGCACCGGTAATGGTGACATTTACTTAAGAGCAAATGAAATAAACGAATCGAATGCTTTACCTTCTTTAAAAAAACGGTTCTGTTAAATCTTAATCATGTCTGGACCATTTTAATATACGAATTTATAGTAAAAATGTCAATTCTCTTCAATTGTTTTGAGAGTTATTTTTGTTCGATCGAAAATCATCAAAATCTAACTCAAGTTGCACAAAAACTTTGTATTTGAGTATTCTCTATTAACTCTTCAAGCATTTGTTACTCAAAAAAAAGTACTTTGAAGACTCAGAAATATTGTTGCTCAACCATGATAGAGAAACAAAGCTGTAAATAATCTGAGTATTAAATGCTTCAATTTATTTGAAAAGCAATACTTTTCGATCAATTGGATTCAGAATCAAGTTTTATTCTTAATTTTTTAATTGGGTGAAAGTTAAATTTACTATTCATATTAAATAGTAACCGTAAATTTCAAGTGCTTGTAGGATGAGATGTTTATGCATTGCTTGGATTTCCGTGTTGATTAGTATTTAATTGTCTCAAGATTGTTTGGTGAACATAAGGAATCAATGGAGATACAGATTTTACTGTTTTTCATCTCTTGCTATTAACCTTTACCTTTGGAACATGATGCTAATAGAAAATTTATTTGCTTTCAATGAATATTTTGTTCTTAATTTTTTTCTTTTCCTTCTCCTTTAGGATAAAAATAATTGAAACTGGTGCTTTTGACAAGTTGATATCACTCGAGTGGCTTTATTTGGATTCTAATCAATTGATTAAACTTTCTCATGAAACTTTTTATCCAATCATTGATTCACTCAAAGTCCTTGATTTACATGGTGAGTTTCAATATGAACAAATGAAACTGACATTTAATACAATGTTCAATGTTAACAATTGTTTGGTTATCCAGTTTGTTTTGTGATTCATTTGTTTTTTAATTACTTTAAATCCATCTCATTTTGTTTTCCCAATTTACCAGATAATCCGTTCGTCTGTCATTGTGGTCTAGTTTGGTTTAGTGAATGGGTTCGTGATGAAGGTAAATCAATAGTCAATATGCCAGATAAAACTGAATGTCAACTGGCCCCTGATTCACCTAAGAAGATGCCGATTCGAGAAATGAAAAGTAGTTTATTGGATTGTGTTAATCTGGCAATTAAACAGAAACCTGAAACAACAATTTATTTTATTTTGTTTAACATTGAGCACTTCTTGGTTAGATACTTACAATTGTAAAATATTCACTTGAAATGCTTATTCTATTTTCATTGATTTCTGGTTCTAACTGAAATGTTATTAATTTAGTTTAAATCTGCTTTTATTATGGCTGCTGCCAGCATAAATGTATAGTTAACTCCATCTCTTGTTAGAAAAGTTGATTGCTATTCATAAATCTTGTACTTGACTCATAACTCCATCTGTTGTGTGCGAAACAAAATGAATTAGTCTTGTCTATTGAATTATCATCTAGAAATTAAGGAAATTTGATCGCACACAAGTTTGTTAGCGATTTATTTTATGCTCATTTACTCTAAATGTCTCAAACAAACGAGCTTCACTGTAATGATTATAAACAGATGTAAACAAAGAGTCTGGAATTCGATGAGCATTTGAGTTGATTAAGTCATTCCAAAACTGTTCATCAAAAACTGATTAGCTCTTCTGATCTGAGCTGATTAGATCAGTTCTTGAGTTATCATAGAAATAGAAAAAGTCAAGATTTGTAAATACTGTTAGTATCAAGCTAAAGATGTGGTCTCATTGTCTCATTCAATAAGCAGTCAGTTGTGTTTTTGGCTAAACTTCCGTATCCAGCCTGCTGAATTTCTTGATGAAAGTTCTTATAGAACTCAACGAGCTGAGTCCAAATATATAAATCATTTTATGCGGAAACGCCCCCTAGCGGAGAAAATTGTACTTGCACGAAAACGCGTTTTAGGCCATTTTGAGCGTTGCGCATGCGCACAGAACCATTTTCTGACCTTGACTGACCTTCACAGGCTTACCAATGTGTATACGAAGTTTCAAGACTCTAGCAATCATAATTGCAGAGATATGGGACAATATACATGAAATACAAAACATATACGTGTGTATACATACATATATGTGTTGTAATGATTTTGTATATGTTTTGTACAATTTAGACATCCATTCAAATAAAATTCAAAGTGAAATGTCTAGACTGCAAGGTGACATTCTTTCCGACACAACCAAACTTTGCCCACGTATGAAATTCGAGTCAATTGATCAAACACTGGCCAATTATGCCTTTATTAAGTGAATCAAAAGAGTCCAAAATAAATTGAAAGGCTAGCAGAAAAAAACTTTTCCACTTTAAACACAGTTTCTTGTTTCTTTCGAATAGAGATCAATCATTTCATTTTAAAAACTGTTATTAAGGGGTGATAAGTAAAGAATGAGACGAATTTGTAAATTTTATAGCGCCAGACAGACTAGACATAGAGACGCCGTTAATGGCTCAGATTAAAAGTCAAGTGAACGTCGAAAATTAATAGTAAATTTCATCTTAGAAAAGCGTGAAGTGGCCTCTGCGCAAGTTTATAATTATTTCAAATCAATGAAGTTCCCCAAATCAACAGTTTATCGTATTTTCAAATTTTTGCTGATCCATTTCAAGACTTTATAAATTGTTTTCGATTCATTTTAGTTGAAATATTACAGTTCAAGTTAAACAAGAAATCTTTAATGGTGAATAGGAACGGTGGTTACAACTGAATGAATTAAAATAATAAAATACTTGATTTATAGCTTAGCTTGTTGACAATTGATTTTTGGATATTAATGGTCAACAATGATTACCTTTTACTAAAACATTAAATATCACTTAAATTGATATAAGAATTGCCTTTCCAACTATTTCTAAGGCAAGGGTGTGAAAAATTATATAGCTTGCAGATTAAGCAAGCTGCAGATTCAAGTTTAAAGAAAAGTTGGAGATTACTTTTCAAAGGGTACTTAACGTACTCTCAGAGCTAATATTACAATAATTTTGTACAATAATCGCACATCATTGCATGCGTACGCTTATTCGGGATTCAACTGTACTGAATTGTTCAGTAATCTTAACATTGAACACACCTGGTATTGCAATCAACTTTCGTCTGTATTTGAGTTTTCAAGCTACATAAATAAACTTTTCATTTCTTGTCCAAATTGAACAATGATCGGAATACAGATAGATAGAGTCAGATATCATCAGTTAAAGGTCGTTTTGTCAGCAGTTTATAAATTGATATTTATTCAACACTAATAAAGAAAACAATGAAGAGACCAGTAATTTTATAAAAAGGATGATTTCAGAGAAAGGATTTCAATTCAACATAGAAGTACCAAAAGCTATTTTGTGTTCTAATATTTCTAATTAATCAATTCCACTAAAAAGTTAAAATGTTCAAAGTTTATTTAATCTTTTTGATTGCTTTCAGTTCATTCAATGCTTGTTTTGCTGGCAGTAAAACGAACTCAGGTAAGTCGTTTAACAAAGACCTAGAAACAAATTTTAAATATGTTAAGGATGAAATTGATCAATCGAAAAAATTAAAGATAATTAAATCGAAAATATGAGAGAAATACAAGGATAGTTTGCGGATATGGTGAATGGTCGCAAGAATGAATATTTCTTGGAAATTCGATCGCTATAAATTCTTGCTCCCAATGACCATTCAACATTCAAAGCTATTTTGTGTTCCGATATTTTCAATTGTTCAATTGCTTCAAAAGTTCAAATTCGACTGTTTAAAGTGTATTTAATCTTCTTGATTGTTTATTTTTCTGTTGTCCATGTGTTATCAGAAGATGAAATTACGACGGCCTTAGGTAAGTCTCTTAGAGACAGTATGGATGCAATACTCGAATCTATCAAGGATGCGATTGACCAATTCAAAAGTATTAGAGAGGAACAAATCAACAAGTTGAAAGAAGTACGAGAAAAGCTTCAGAACATGCTGATTGATCTTAGGAATAGTAATTCTGCTTCTCAAGCATTACACTCACTGTGAAAATACATTTTCCAGTGCCGTTCATAAGTGCGTGAATGGACAATCAACATATATTGTATTGATTTTTCTTTAATAAATTAATAAGTTCTGTAAGAAATGCAATAAAGTGATTTCCAATTGAAGTATCATTTCTCTTCAAATTACATCTCAAAATTGGTTTTACAACTCACTTAAAAAGTCAAAAATTTGAAATTTAACAAAAAATTGCTAATGTCAACTAACAATTGAACACATCGTCTTATGCACTTAACATGAAACAAGCATGATTTTGTATGTGCTCATTTGAAAATCATTAATAATTTAGTGAAACTCAAAATTGATCCATTGGATGTTGATAATCGGAAATTAGCACGTATCAAAAAGAAAGTGTTGAAAAAGAGTTACATTTCTTCTCTTATAGTTCGATAAGCTCAAATATTTATTTCAATCTATAACAATCGAAAGGCCGGTACATTCATGAAATCCACACGATTCTGTGAATTTTGTAAAATGAAATTTTAAATACTTGACGACTGATCACAATTTGTTGCGACATAAAAGAAGCATAAAATTTGCACAAATTTGAAATTTATGCTGTACTAAAGCAGTTGCTAATAAAACGTCATTGAATCTTGGTATGCGAAAAAACCATCAATATCGCATTTAAGGATATTCGGAAGTCAATGTGTGTTATGTGTTGAATAAATCAGGTTCTCAATCTTTCTCTGGTTTATTAGTTTCAACCACATCTCATAGATCATTGTTGATCAACAAACGCTTTATAGATACTCTCCAGGATTCATAATTAGTTTCACTGAGTTTTTCGATGGATGAAAACTGAGAAGACATAATAGAAAGAAAAAGGTGGGATACTTGTCGAAATCACGACACTAAATCAAAAGAGGATAACCACGCTCTGCTACCATGAGAGGATACCTTATTACCACCATACCTTATTAGATGTGGAAATCATAAATAGGCAGATCAAAAAAGAAATGTGAAAAATTTACTAAAAGAGTTACATTCTATCTGATGTAACTCGCTAAATATAAATATTATTTTGATTCTATTTCAAACAAAAGCCTTCTGCAATCATGAAATAGATTTTCTCAATTTACTCAACTTTGTCTGAAAACAGATGTCACCCTGCAAACAATTCGAGAAGAATACAAGTATTCAAAAGAACGCTGTTTCTATTTGAATCAAATGTTTTTATCTCGGAAGCTTGAAAGATGTTGTTCTCATCATCTTTTCAATATATGGTATAGATTGGCATTCAAGCTTGTGGCTGGCACTTGGTTAACTTCCGAACAATATGAAGAATTATTACTCTTTGAAGACAACCATATATACAGCAGTTCTGCAACCGTTGTTTTCCAACATTAACACCTGATAATAGCGGCGAATTGAGTCAAGAGCTGAGAATTGGACAGGACTGGATCCTCAGCAACTTTGATCCTTAATTTCGGTCCTCCAGAATGCAGTGGACCAACTTCGTCAGAGATCACAGTGGACGATCTTTATTTCCTTGCCGCTGGAACATACCAATTAAGTATTGTGCAAAGTATTTTCCATGACATGTAAATATGGACGGAATACTTTTCGAACTTTATAATCATGGCAATATCGAAGATGATATTTATGCACAATACGGTATTGGTTGCGACGGACTTACACTTCTGAGAACCAAACTGCGATCTCGTCATAAGGGTGCTACAGAATACTTCATTTATATACTCATTGATTCGAATGAAGCTGGAATAAAGGATAAAGTAATATTATTACACGTGCATGTCTGGTTGCATGCTCATGTACTTACAGTGATATGGTATGGATCTATTGGATCAATGTCTACACCACCAATACCTGCAGCCCATCTAGAAAGATTCGCGATGAGAATTTCCGACATCTAAGAATAAATAGATATTTAACATCTTGATCATTTCTTTATCCATGTTGTTTATAAGTATTGCAACATTTATGTCGACTTGAATGTGATAAATTGAACAATTGAAAAATTCGAACAAGAGTACAAAAATTCTATGGCGTAACAAAATAATATGAATGATGATCCACACAGTAGATACAGTCTGAGCTCCTATAAGTAAAAATGACCAAATAAATATGCAAAGAAAAAATCAGCTTGCTCAAGAACCATTTATTAGTCAAGTTACTATTGGAACGTATATGACAAATACAATTGCTGAGAAAAGTCTAGTTTTGGCTATTTTTCGAGCTTATTTTGACTATCGAATTCCTAATGATAGAATTAGTATGCACAGAAAACACCAGCTTGTTTCAGCGCTTAGTTTGATTTTAACATTTTTAGCGTATAACTAAAAAACTATGATTGCTATTAACCACATACGTATTTGAAGTCAGCATGCAAATTTACATCAGAAAAAAATTGCTTGAAAAAATTCTGAGGTTAGGCCATTTCGCCTATTCTTTATGACATCCTCCTTTCTAATTTTATCAAGTCGATAAAAATTTTTATCTCATGTCAAATTGAAGAAACCCGTTTCGGTATGAAAAGAGCCTTTTGAAGTTAATGAGTAGATTCCAGGCGTAAAGCATCAAATTGGTCCTTTTTCAATTTTTCAATTCAGATTAAACCAGATATGGTTCGTTTTAAATAAAACATAGATATACACGTAGTGGGTTAGTTTTTTTAAGCAACCAATCAATAATTTCAATATACCAGGTAAAAGTCAATATTTAACTAAAAGCCAAAACAGAAATGAGCAAGAAATTACTGAATGAAATGAAATAGTAAATTCTAAGTATAGTAAAACATGATTAACAATTGACGAGTCAGATGATTTGTTGTAGAGAATCTTCATGAATGTTTACTAGATTCTCGATCCATGATCAATAGAGGTCGGTTTCATTGCTGGTTTCCAGGTAACATAGTTTGAATTGATTCTCATTCTAGGAAAAAGGTAAAAGTAGAGGTAAATTACATGATAATGATGGTAACCAATAGATCCTGGAGCATAACAATCGAAACAAACATTGAACTTGTGATATAAAATTCGTTCTCATTGTAATCAATTTACATAATTCAAATGTGTGATATAATTTAATTTCAAACTAGTTTCTTTTAATAACTTCTCAATTTTACCCAATTTTCACCAAACTCATCTTATCGACATTTACTTGGGAAATATTTTATATTTTAAGTGACCAGTGCTTCAACCATGACCAATGTTTCTCGATGTAAAGCAATTGTTGTTGGTGATAAAGCCGTTGGTAAAACAGCGATTCTCAATTGTCTTCTTGGTTATCCAGTTCCTTTCAGCAAACGATACAACATGACCAAAGGAGTCAACATTGTTTCAAAGTCGATTAAATTGGTTGAATCGCGAGAAGAATTGTGTACAATTGATATTTACTTTTACGACTTTTCTGGTCGCTCCATTTATTCCGACCTGGTTCGATCTTTGTGGGCCAACAATGTTTCACTAGTTATCGGTGTGTTTGATGTAACTCGAGAAGAATCCTTTTACCATTTACAATCAATCCTCTCTGATTATTTGAGAAAATTTGATAAACATTTAGACAATCCGTCAACATCAACTCACAACAACAACATTACCAATACATTGGGCATTGTTGGTGTCATTTTGGGCAATAAAACTGATTTAACTGAGCAAAGAGCAGTCGATGAGGAAGAAGCTCGCCAATGGGCCAAACATTTACGAATGAGATATTTTGATGTTAGCGCCAAGGATAATATTGCAATTGAAGAATCGTTTAATCATTTGGTTAGAACCTGGTTTGATTCTAATCGTTCAAATTGAAGGTTATCAACTTCACCCAACTATAACCATTGTCCATTATCATTACCAACTCATTGTATTGACCTTTAGTTATTTATGTCTATGAATAATAACTGTGTTCATCTATTTATTTATCAACATTCAATTTTTCACTCACTTTTACTTTCCACTCTCAATTTTGTCTTCTGGTGAAAACAATAAATTGATTTTAAATGTTATCATGAAATTACTCGACTTTAATAGACACACTAGAGCAGTTAACCCATTGAATAATTTAAATAAACTCTGGTAGTTGAATTGGTTGACTTTTAATGCTTTCAGGTTTCAATTTCATGACTACTCTTTAATATTGAAACATCCTTTGGTGATTGACAGCGTTTAGTTAAACGTTTAAATGAAAATGTCTTTCTAATCAAATAACTTTATTGAACATTTATCATTTTGATAATCATGATAAGTAAAATATCGTGACTAGGAATCATAAATTATTGCTATTAATGCTCTATTTTTATAGTCAGAGATGAACCCTTTCCTTACCTATTTTGCCTTCATTCAGTCTTTACCATTGTTATCATGACTTTTTGTGCTCTTTAAGAAACTTAAAATAGGTTAATTTGTTTATACTCAATATGATAGTTTATTAATAGTCGATGAGAAAAGTTTATCTAAATTTGATGGTTGAAGGAGTTGCTACGAGTTTTATTCTGATCGACAAATATGGAAAGTTTGTTGAGAGTTTCTTTGAAGCTATTTTAAATGTTAGTTTAATGAAAAGATGAGATAATAAAGGATCAACTTGTGAAGAAACATATTCATAAATTGGAAAATAATTTGATGAGAAATATTTGTTTGTTGGAATAATGTTCAGTTTTATTGACAAATGCATATGATGCGTGAAAATGTGAATTCAGTTTACTATTCATTCAGCATTTACTATGTAAAATCACTTTAATAAATGAACAAATTGATCGTAAATACGACATAAAGTTAGATATTAAGTGGCAGTTTGAGAGACTCTATGGTCTGTGATATGAATCAACAGTTACCATTCAGAAATAAAGAGTCCAATTGGGCATCAGTTGTTGATGAATCAATTGACTTTAACATTATCTTAAATTTGGCTTTAAAGATCATTTGGATTAGAGATGATCATTGAATGGCCTAATTTTCATAGGATTTGAAACAATCATCTCATTTGCTCAAACTGTACTTTTAATACAAATGTCTGGTATTGTGCTAGTTGAAAATTTAGTTTTTATGACTTAGAATGAATAATGTTGCTTTGACTGGAAAGATTTTTGGAAAAAAGACTTTTTTAGATGAGATCAATGATTAAAAAACAGCTTGACCAGAAGTAACAGCTCAAAATTTGGCATTTTTTGATGATTAATTATATTTACAGGCTTTGTTATTGAACTGGATGAGTCTTTTATTATAAAAACCATTTTCTGGAAGATAAAATGTCCAAATCTTTCGAAAGGATTGTCAAATTCGATTTCCAGACCAGAATGCAATAATGAATTTAAATAAATAAAAGGAAATTTCCCCAAATGATCATCTAAATCATGTAGTGTTTTGAACTGTTTATTGAATCCACCAGTCTTTTTGTTGTACTTATTTAGTTTGTTCATCTTCCAGATGTTTCCTTGGCTAGTTATTACTTTGAGATCATTGATGAAGATTTGAGATTTATATAGTTGATTAAAGATCCGAATCAATGTTGTCTTCACATTGATAATTGACCACAGTATTTTGCGTTTTACAGTTGAATAATAAATAATCGTTTGAACAGCTGAATATCATCAGTAACCTTTAAAAAATAGATTAAAACCATGTAACCTGAGTTTGTTGATTTTGTTTACCTTGTTTACGGTTAAAGTTATTATTTTCATTACTAGAATTGAGTATTGATAAAACATCTCGGTAGCTATCCTTTTCAGGTGACATATTCAATGCTGATGTTGATGATGAATGAGGCACCTTGTTACCTGAAGACAGGGTAACTTCCGAGTCATTTGTATCTGGATTACCTGAAAGATTGGCCTGAGTTAAGCCAATAGTGGAAAGACCTTGTAAACGGTTCGCTTGTTCAGATAAACAGTCATCCTTGAAACCAGAAGCTCCTCCAGCAGAAAGTGGCTTCACTTTTCCTCTTCCATCATCTGTGCTTCCTCTACTTAGCCTTCTATTTGCACCTCCACTGCTGTTTCCACCTGATGCAGATGAATCCATGCGACGAGAATTGCCCACAATTAGTCCGTTAGTCATTTCAGGTGAATCATAATTATTTACAGCGATTCGGAAAGGTCTTATTGTATCATCATAAGTAACTGGTGACACGCGGCGAGAAAAGACAGTCTCTCGTGTAACTCGTTTACCACAAAAGGCTGATGTTGTACAGGCAACAATAAGCATAAGAAGTATAACCACCACTCCAAGAACACTGAATACCAAGATTCCAGAATATTGACATCTTGGACCGACATTCCAGTCTTGACAAGTACAATAAAGCGTTGAATCTAACGCATTAACCAAACAATGTCCACCATTTTCACAATAACTCAATGGGCATTCAACACGACAAACTTCCCCAGGATAGTATGGATTGGGTGACAAATCAGTAAAACCTGGTTTACATTGACAACGGAATCCTGGCTCTGATAGTAAATTGGCGGCAATGGCTCCTTGTGGTGGAATCGGTAAACATACTGAATTTGGTGAACAATAATTGAGATCAGCTATTCCACATGGGTCGATATCGTCTTGGATAGCTTTTATGGTTACATTTCGAAAGAGCAATTCTGATGGCATGGAAGATGCACTTTCACTGAGATCGGCAACTGCTTGAGTCATTTCTCGAGCAAGGTTGACTTTGAAATTATTTGTGAATAGATCATTACGAACATGGACCATTGCTTTAGCCGAGACACTTCCCGGGCTAAAGCTGAGCACTCCAATTGAGACTATTCCTGAGGCTAAAAGTGGAGATCTATCCATGATAACTCTTAGAGATCTTTCAGTCTGGTCTTTAGTTTCAATGAAACGAGGAGAGTAAATATTGGCCAAGTCATCGGACCAAATGAGATTACCAAAAGAAACTGTAATTAATGCTCCTTTCTTAATTCGGCATGGCTCTGAATGATTTGTACGATGAAATGGTTCAACACATTGGCAAACGTTGAAATTGGCTGAACTCACGCAACGTTCATTCAGATGAAGGTGACAGTTATAGGGACTAGAGCACAATCTATAATTAGAATGGTTTTCATCATGGCTTTCAACTCCTAGAGCAGTTGGAAATAAAGAAGTGACCGAAGATTTGATTGGTGATGAAGTAGATGTTAAGGATGAATGAATGACTGAATCCAATTGAGTTTGATTGCTTATGATTCCAATTGATTCGTTGTTTGTACTTTCACCATTTACATCAGAATCAAGAGATCTAAAGTGTATTCCAGGCAAAGATTTGTTTGTCCAATGGTACCGATGATTAGAACTGGACAAAGGTGATAATGATCTCTCCTCAGGGTCAGTGTAGTTATCAGGTTTGTCTGGGACTATAGCTGAATGTGTATTTTCTTCACCTTGAGTTGATACAATGCCATCATTTTGGTACTCGATGAATTTTGAGTTGGGTCCATCTAAAGTTGATACTTGAGGATCATAAAGCTCCAATGATAATGGGTCCAAACTTCGAGTTGATTTCAAATTTAATGATTGATCTTTGACATGTTGATCAGATTTAGTCCCAGCAAGCCTCTTTAGACCATTATAATTATCTACATTCTCTTTATAAGTTGGTAACTCTGCTTGTTTTAAGGTCCGAGCTTTCCGATCTTGCAATTGGATATTGGTTAACTCATCGTCGAGTTTATTAGTTGTGTGGTCAAAATTTTGGTCAAAACTGCTTCCATTGGACACGAATTTATCTGATAATAGGTTCAAATGGTCAGGGTAAGTTTCGTTACTTGAGATGTTCACTGCTGTTTCTGGTCCGATCAAATCAGAGTCAAGATTGGTTCCATAGAGCTTTAAACCTATCCACAGAAGATACAAATAATTTAATATTGAGCTTTAATTGAAATTACTGGTTGAAACTCTTGATCTAAAAAAATTATCACTTATTTTAATGTTGAGACTAAATTGTTCATTGTCTAATGAACTGTTTAAAATTGCATTACAGCTGATAGCAGCCCTAGTGGCCATAATGGTCCCAATGAAACTATCAAGCCGCTTAAAAGTTGCTAATGGTTTCAATGTTGAATTTCAAACAGTTTAAATCAAAACAAATTAAATCTATTATTAAAACTCGTTAAAACTTACCATTGATAATGAAGGGCCAGAGAGTGAAAATAATTGTAAAATAGCAGTTAAAAGATGAATTGGTAAACGTTATCATTTGTCGACAATAAATTGATGAACCCAAAATTTGTTTGTCAAAGATGATGTTGGAGGTTATTGTTGAGTATCACCATTAATAAATTAAACAACACTAAATGGCAAATAATGTAACAATAAATGTGGGCCAAAAATAAGGTTGAAATGCGTTGGTGAACTGGTTAAAAATGTATCAGATTCTAATGTCATCATTATTATTAGCTTTATGGTAAAAATGAAAAATAAACTTGGAGGGTAAAAAAAGACTAAATAACCAAAGTTGATGAAAGATGATGAAAAAAGAAGAAAGAAATGAAGGGAAAGAAAACAAAGAGGAAGAAAAATGAGTGTCCACCCAAAATAATTGAACACATAAGAAATTGCTGAAAATATGTGAGATAATTTGAGTGATTATGATGATTGAAGCAAGATAAATCACGTAATATATCAGTAATTTGAGGATGATAAGATGATAAACAGAGTTAAAGCAAGAGTTGAAGTGCAATGAATTAGGGAGGAAAAGTTATCATGGTTTTTCATATTAGTTTCAGTTTATCCAAAAATATGTGTGATATTTGAATAGAGTGACTAGATTGAACTGTGAACAAAAAAAAAGGTAAACCAATGTATTAAAAATGAAAGCTCAAATGGATTGGAAATGAAGAGCAAGTCGATTATGGTGATGATAATGATGATGATAATAATGATGAGTGAGATTGGGATGAGTGTTGGTATCTCGGGTGTGTCTCAAAATAGGAACCATTTTTACCTTTTGTGACTTAACCAAAGCAGATGATTAACTAATGAGATGGTTGACTTTTGGTTTTTTTTGGCATCACTTTCTTTACCTACATTTACCAATGTATTTACAGTCTTAGGCGTTGATCACACTTTAATTTCAACACAATTAAAAATAGACAATCAAGTTAATCGTTTGACTCTAAATTGTTTTCAATAGTCCACCAAAATTAGGCATAAATTATAATACATCTTAACATTATCAACAAAGCTTTAGTTTTACCCAAATCTTAGAGCCTAACCAAAGTCTGGACTTGATGATGTTGTTGAACTGTCGATACTGTTGAACTGATTGTTGCTAATTATTTGAATTGTCAGAATATTAAACTTCGAGTTACTTTGATTAATATTTTTCGTGTCTTGATGAGTTTGCTCTTGAGCTTTGAATGGACAAATTGGGTAAACCTTACTTTCATCATTCCATCAACATCTCTTATTAGATAATTTAATATCTAGTTTGAATATTATAATAACATTTTTTTTCATTTACATCCAACTTGACTAAGGCAACTTATTATTATAATTATTAACCTGTTCTGGACTAGTGGATACCATTATTATTATGCGCTTGAAAAGCTTTACCTTTGTTGGTGTCTTTTTTTCTGTTACCAATTAACTAATTCGGCTCTTGTTCATCTCTCCAGGGAAGATTGGACTTGTCGTTGATTTAACCAATACTTTGGCTATCATCAGTTTTAATCGCAATATCATTATTAACATTATTCAATGGACATCAAGTGTTGAAGATCAATGAACCTACCTTTTTTAAAAAAAACCATATTCCTGTATTGCTGAATATTATTGTTTGCTTTCTTTATTTGGTTCCCATTGAATGATTTTTGTTGCACATCTCCTATTTTAGTTCATTGAATTTGACTCTAATTAGCTCCAATCAGCAGTTTTATCATCATCAATGGAAATAATTAGCTAAGTATTGCTATTACGAGTCCATGAATCCTAGATATTCAGTTCATTGGCCTTCCATTCGTACCTCAACTAAAAAGCTTTAGAGATATTTTACTGCAATCATACAAAATTTGTTTGTATTGTAATTCGGAATTCTTATCGTTATATGATGCAAAAATAATCAATCATGATACGGCAATTCCAGCACCTTGAAATTTCTGCTAAACAATTTGCTAAAAATTTGGGAATTTTCAAACATGTTCATGACCGAATCAAAAAATAAATTTGTTCAAAATTTTAGTTAATTAAATACAAAGAAATATCTCAAATTTTATTAATCATTCAATACTTAAATTAATCTTCATTATAAATCGATCAACATCTTAATTCAACACTCTTTGATCTTTTAACGGACTTTCATTTCCAGCTGAGATTGAGGTTAAATTATTGATGTAATAAAACAGAATTTAATACTGAAAATTAATCAACATTCATCCTCATATTATACATCAAGTCCGGATAAAATTGTAAATTATTCAACGCAAAATGATTCGTTTCTAATGGTCCTAATTAGTTAATTCTTCAACTGGTTTGTCAATTTTTTTATCAATTGGGTCAGCAATCGGTTCATCGCCTCCTTCATCTACCGGTTTATCAGCTGGTTTTTTAGACTTTTTCTTGGACTTCTTCTTGGGCTTTTTCTTTGTTAATTTATCAGCTCCCATGTCGATCTTTTCATCGATTTTTTCATCCAGTTTCTCATCAATTTTCTCATCGATTTTTTCATCAAGTTTTTCATCGTTCTTTTCGTCAATTTTCTCGTCCAGTTTTTCATCAATTTTCTCATCAATCTTTTCCTCAATTTTTTCTTCAATTTTTTCATCGATTGGTTCCTCATTTGTTTCGTCTTTTTTTTCAACAATTGGCTCTTCAATTGGTTCATCCTTTGTTTCGTCGTTTTTTTCAATAATTGGTTCTTCAATCGGCTTGTCATTTGATTCAACAGCTGGTTTCTCAGTGTTTGTTATCTTAACATCGACTGGTGGGTCAGTTTTTACCTCAATCGCTTTATCAATCTGTGAACTATAAAGTAAACAATTTTAGTATCTTGATTCTACATAGTAAATTAAAAAGTAAAAATCATTTAATTGCTTTGAATTTCATGCTAACATTTGATTGATGCATTAGCTTATATTAGTAATTTGGATAGGTTTTTATAATTAAAAATATTGCCTAACATTTAGATTTAATTTGTAATTTTGAGAGATTAATAATCAGTAATTGAAGGAAAATTAACATAAATTGAAAGCTAAAGATCTAATATTTAATGAAATGTGCGTGATTGATATTTTCAATTATAACCATTTGATGACAATCAAGCCACAATTTAGCATGAAATTCCCATAGAAAGGGTTTTTGACACGAAAAAAGATACTAAACGTATTATTCTTGTTACCTTATAACTGTTTCGGTTACTGTTTGGTCAATTTTCTTTTCCGGTAATTCGTCAATTTTTTTGTCGGTTTTTTCCTCTTTTGGTAATTCAACTGGTTCCTTAACTTGTTTATCAGCTGGTTTACTTTCAATGTTTTCTTTTTCTGCCTCTTTACTAGCAAGTGCAGGCTTTGGGGCGACTTCAACAACCTTTTTTGGTCTGGCAGATTCTGGCACAGGAATAAGGCAGACAGCTTCAACAACCCGCTTTGGTGAGAGAGAATATCTTCTAAATTCACAGAATAAATGCAAATATAATGCCTCGGCATGTGGAGTAAATCTCGGAAAAGAAATACCAGATTTGTATTGAGCGTCAACCAAAGGTTGTTTCATTTTTTGCTCCAAGTCGGTTGTGAAAACTTCAACCTCGCGACTATTGGTAAGACAGACAACACATTGTTCAGTCACTGATTCATCTATAGTTGAAGTAAATGAAGAGATTGAGATATGGCGCGCTTTTATTCCCTCGCCTGCAGTTAACTTGTACTTAGAGTGATGTTTTAGCTGTGGAAGTGTGAATAAAATGAACTGTTCTTCTGTGCAAACGAGAACTTTATCTGCTGCTGAAGGAGCGCGGGCTTTGCCGTGTTTAACTTCCAATGGGTCTGGTAGTGGATATCCAGTTGGATCAATGGGATGAATGAATATTACCGGAGCTGCATGTGCTAATCTAATTTCTCTACCGTAATTAAAAGTAATTTTCTCTGTTTTCCTCAAATCTTCTTCTCCTTCTTTAGGTAGAAAACCAGGAACTTTAAAGGCAAATGCATAAACTATACCAGCTCTTGTACCAACCCAGAGAGTGGGGGCTTGACCAGAGTCCTTTTTATCAATACCCGCTAAGCCAATGTATAGACAATTAACAACGGCTCCTGTTATTTCATCCTTAGGTCTAGATTCAACCCGTCTTTCATTCGGTTTAACTGCAAATGTTTTCACTTCTTGTGCTGGTGATTGAGATTGTTTACTTGTATCATCACTCGATTTAGTTGGTGTATTAGATGGAGTAGAAGATGATGCTGGTGAGGCTTCAGGTTTCTTAATATCCCTTAAAGATCTCAATCGTTTCAAGTTACGGAAAGAATAACGGACAGATTTTCTAAAAGATTTGTGTCTAGAAATAGGAGCATTATCTTCAGCCAGAGCAGCAGTATCCTTAGTATTCAAAGTACTTTTAGTAACAACAACAGTATGTTGGAGGAAGTCATAAAGACCAAACCCATAATCAGTACCAATAGCCAAAAGATTCCATTCAGGATGCCATGCTAAAGCTGTCACATATGAGGGCGGATTTGTTTGAATTAAGGCAAGAGCAGTGAAACCAATAAACTTAACATGCTCTGAACGTGGTTTAGGGGCTGCTTGGCCTTTCCAAGGGAAATTTTCCTCTGGACGGATAATATTCATTGATTTGACAACAAGAGGAGTGCAATTGTTATCATCAGTCAAGCTGAAAACAATTACCTGACCACAGCCGCCTCCAACAACCAAGGTTGAAGAGAAGGGAGAGAAAACAACCTTTTGTATTTTCAGCCTGACATTGTCAACAAATGGATCATATGAGCCAACATTGCGGAAGGGTGGCCATAACTCTTCAACTTCTTTACTATTCTCATTAGCTGGAACTTCGTCAGAGTCAATCGGGATTATGTCATCATCGGGATCATTAAAAAGCTTCACAGTTTCAAGGGAACATAAATGGTGAAGAGTTACGTCACCAGCAGCCCAAAAGTGGACAGTACCATTGTCATGACCTGTCACTAAAACATCATTTGTCACAGTGAAAGGCTTTTCAGCAATTACACCACCTTTAATAGGCCATTCGCGATTAGTGTACTTGTTTTCATTTTGTTTGGAGCCAATGCTTTGAAGTTTTTTGTAAACATCATCTGGGATATCAGAAAAATATTGACAGGAGGTGATTTCCGAAGAATTGAGGGTACACAAATATGGCAATTTATATTCTAGCCAATCGGGACTTTGAAGATCAATAGCAACTATTTCTTGAACAGTGAGAACTAATAAAGCTTCTGGATAGTCATACATAGCTTTCCCATCTTTATCATCGGCATTGATGACTATAAAGTCAATTACGGCCGAGGGAAAATCCAACACATGATGTTTCTTTTCTCCTTTCTCGGCACCTTTCTTGATAATCGTCACAGAGTATTTATCATTAAAGTCATATCTCGGGAGACCATTACCAAAAATAAGAAACTCTTCCCTAATAGGTTATCAAAATAATAAAAAAACAAAGATAAGACAATTATTTTATCTAGAGGTGTGCTTCTTGAATTGTCAAGAAATAACTGTTGAGAAGATGAGAAAAATAATTACTTGTCAATGGTTGTCAAGCCAATTATCTTGGTAATAGGTTTACAGGCATAAGGTCCATATTCTTTTTCTTCTTTTTGTGATGGTTTCAAATTGTCACTCAATTTCCATCTGATGTAGATACCATCGGCATGAGAGCTAATAAATTCTTCACCGTTTCGCAGCCAACAAACAGATTCTAGTTGCTACAAAAGCCGAAAGAAGTGATTGGAGAAAATGTTAGTTTAATTCAATATTTACTTAACAAGAAAATAAATTGAGATCATCTTTAAGTAAACTTACCTGGTTTGAAATGTAAAAATGCTCAGTAGTTAAATTTTTGTTGTCCCACAAAACAAGCAAACCTCTATTGTAACCAATCAAGAATTTATCAGGATCGTGAGGTTTTTCAACTATAACTTCAACTTCACCTGGATTACTTTTTTTGAGCGAATCTTCGGGAATATTTTGTATGACCACATCTTGGTATATTATTTCATTAGTGAGGTCAAAAGTTTCTAATGACAGTATGTAAATATTACCACCTTGAGTTCCAACGAGCAAAAATTGATTGGAAGAGTTTATGGTCATAGTTGTAATTTGTTTAAGATTTCCTTCTCTTTGCTCTTTATGAAAAAATGAGCAAGTTTTAACTTGTTCGATGAAACTTTTTTCAACACCATTTTCCCTCTTTTGAACATTGATTTCCCACAAACTGAGGCTGTTATCACTGCAAAGAACAACCAATTGTCCACGTCCTTCGACAAATTTTATTGAACGAACCTCTGTCTCTTCTCCTAGAGATATTTCCAATTCAACTCCGGGTCTACCATTAATCTTTATAACTCCCTTTTCTGAACCAATGGCTAGTAAACTTAGCTTGCTGTCATACGCCATACATGTTGGTGAATGTGGAAATCCATGAGATAATGTCTGTTTCAGACCAAATGATTCCTTTGTTAACTTGGACCTTGTAGAAGACTTGAAACGTTTTCCCCTAAAATATTTCAACATATTGATCTTTTTATACTTAGTAAAATCAGGTAGAAACAAGGTTTAAAAAATTGGGCACTCTATAAAAATCAATCCAAAACTATTAAAAATTAAAACTATTTAAAAAAGACAATAAAAAAAATTTAACACAAAAAAATGAGACAATATTGCTCGTTAGGTTAGGTGTGGTTTCACCGATGATCACTGGGAGAGTTAAAAGCAAAAACCAGGGTTGGCTTAAGAACCGGTTACATTAGCTAAACAAAAGCGTATTGAGAGTTGGTAGTGGCTGGTTACTTGAGCACCACCTATGCCTTTTCATCAACAATTTTTAATTTGTAGCTGGGAATCTGGCAATAGACCTTTTTTGGATTATTATATCATGTACATCATGTAGATCAAATAACTTTAGTAATCAACAATTATTAACTAATAATTTGTCTCTTATTGAGTCTTACAGAACATTGTTTACTATCAAGTTGCATAGGAAATGACATAGATGGCAGTTTTACTGCATTCGTAATTATATTGTTATTTTTAAATGGCTATAACAAAAAAAGGTGTTTTACTGTCATTAAAACAGGTCACCATCAAAAAGTGAATCACTTTTTCTATTGTCTTATAAAACTTGGCAGCACCTCTTTCAAACATCTGTGACTAATTGTTCTGGTACAGTTTCGCTATTGGTAGTTGGTGAGGATGTAACGCGAAATAACAAATTAAATTGCACCTTTCTGGTTGTAAGATGTTTTTTTTGGCTTTTTGATAAGAAATCAAGTCTTAATTGATTTATGGTTTATTAGATTCCACAAAGGATAACTTGTAATTTAGGTAAAAATTTAGGTGAACAATATGTACCCGTTATTTTTTCTGTCTATACATTTAAGTTTCTATAGCTGACTTTAACAAGCCAAATTGAGTTTCCAATATTTTTAAAGCTTCGTTGTAAGCACAACCCGGACGAATTATTTTAAAATAACCTTTGGTGGATAGATCAATTACTGTTGATCCCAACTTGTTTGGATCCCCAGTTAGTTTGCCTCCATCGAGGACGGCATCAAGATTTGACCAAAGCTCGTGAAACTCATCAACTTGGGTACAGCTAGGTTTATCACTGATATTGGCACTGGTTAAGGCTAACGGCTCAGCTATTTGTTGGGTCAATTTTAAAATAAATGGATGATCTGGAATTCTGATACCGATTGAATTTGTTTCAGGATTGAGCAATGGATTCAATTGAGGCGATCTCTCGAAGATGAGCGTATATGGTCCAGGTAAGAGAGCATTTAAGATTTTATGATCAACAGTGACTATACTCCATTTTGATATTTCATTAACATTTGATAAGCATATGGCAATCGGTTTACAATTTAATCGACCCTTGATTTGATATATACGCGAGACAACACTAGGTTCTTGAGCCAAACCAATAAGACCGTAGATAGTGTCCGTGGGAACACCGAGAATACCTCCTTTAGAGATTAAATCACAAGCCATGCCGATAGCTTTGACGTTTAGGCTTCCATTTACATTATGTACAGGTATTAATTTATTGGAAAAAAATGAAACCATGGTTGATATTAATAGATGTGTTAATGAAGAAATGTAAAGCTGAGAAAAAACAATTATCTGATACGTGAGAAAAAAGAGTGAGAAAACAAAATTATAATTAGCTGAAAATGAAATTCAAAATTATTATTAATTGATAATTACCCAAAAGTGAGAAGATGCGTTTAACAATGAAATGTTGCAAGTTTATAAACACATAATGATCATTATTTGAATGATTAACTAGATTTGAAATGGAAGAAAAGAGAAAAATATGGTTTGAAAAATACAGACACGAACATGTGTTGGCTATCTTGTTGTTTTCAATAAGAACAGCTGGGATAGTGGTTACAGAATGATTCAAGATAGAAAATGGAAGTAAAGATATTGGAATACTGAGAAGATTGAAGCATAAAATATTCATTAGTGGAAACTCTGTCTAGGAAAAATGATCAACGGAAGAGGAAGAAATAAAAATATGAATGATGAGAAGCAAAAGAGTACCTTTTTATACATTGGGCCCACTCTTAAAGAACAGGTATGTATCGTCGTTCTGGGTATTAAAAATGGTATAACATGTTTGAATGGGTATCCTGATAATTGAGTTAACACCATTACCTTTGTAGAGTGGAGTATCGTCTATTTTAATATCAACTTCACCAGTTAAGACACAAAATTTATGAGCCACAGGTCCACTATTTTGATTTACTTTTGTTGCCCTCGGCTCTAATTTGATCAAACCAATTAGTAATTGTGTTAACTTGTGATGATGTAGATAAGCCAAGCTAACTCCTGGAGATAATTTACTTTTAGTCCATTGAACCTCTTGTACAAAGGATAACATCTTTTTCCGAGCGGCTTCATGTTTCTGATTGTTGATATGAACAACAGGTTCACGACGTTTAAACTCATGGTCTCGAGTGTCTCCAAATTGCAGGAAAGGAGAGAAATCAAATTTCTTCTCTGAAACTGATACAGATGCTTGATCCATTGCAAGTTAAAAAAGGTGTAATAAAAGTTTAAAGCTGACAATGACACAAATACGATCAGATGGGGTCGATTAAATTATGAACAATAGGAAAAGACGGTTCAACTAAAAGAGAGGGAAATAGAAAGATGAAGATATGTGTATTGATGGTGTAAACAAAGTTTGGTCAGGGGAAACATTTCCCCTCTTTTAGGCGCAGTAAGCTAAATTTTTAACCAGCCTTTCCAAATTGATGTTTGCGCATTTTTACACTTTACCTTTAAGTCCACTGATTTTTGGCTTTTTTCCTGGTCCAATTATTCCTGTTATCCAATCTTTGGTCATTAAATAATCCTGAAAAACTATCTTAATCAACTCTACTACAAGCTTTTTAAACTATGTTTATGTATAAACGGCTCCCTCCAAAATCCTTAAGCATAATAATTGCTATGGTTACGTTGACAGTTTTTTTTCTTAATCTGTTAATCTCAATTGTTTTGGTTTTTAAAACCAGTTTTTAAAACTTTGGTCACCTTTGCGGAAAATAGCTAATTTGGTAAGTTTTCAATCTTTAAGGTTTTGTGTGTCTAGACGTTAAAAAATTGCTGGTTGAAAGCTGAAAGCATATTAGCGAATGGTATTTAAGTAGCAGAAGATGACAGTAAATCAAATTAAATAATGTCAAAGTTTATAATGATATTTTAACAGATAGCCTGGACTATGGAACCTTGGAAATGCTGATCTTAATCAAGTGGTAAATCACAAATCCAAACGAATTGTTTTCTTGTTTGTCAACCATGTGGACCTGTCATTTTAAAGAGCTTAAGGTCAGTTTAAAAGATTTATTTGTTTATATTTGAATCCAAAAGACTCCCGGTCATTTGCTCATAGATGCTTTATATCGTTATGATCAGCAGCCAATGGAAAGTTTAACCATCTTCTTGGATTATCTGGTTAAACTGATAAAAACTTGTTTTGTGCTGACATTTAAAAGTCTGTGGTTTGAACTTTACTTGCCATCACTATCGCCTTTCACTTCTTATTGACCTGTTCAAAATTAACTCAAATTCAACTCACCAAATTTATTCTTTACCATGTTTCCAATTTTTCAATTTTCCTTTTTCATTTGTTTTCTAGTCCAAATTTCCACCGCATTTGATCCGATATCGTTTACAGCAATCAAAGGAAGCCGCTATGACAATTATATCTCATTATCAACAATGGTTGTCAACAATAGGGTATGAATCCGTTTATCTTATTCAAATTAATGATAGGAATATCTTTCGATGAACTATTAACTTATTCACTTTTGTTTTATTTACTCACAGGCAACCTTCAACAATCTTTATGGAGCTTTCAAGTGCACAGTACCCGGAATTTATTTTTTTTCATTTACCGCTCTTGGTCAACCAAATAAGGAGCTTCGATTATCTCTCCGTGTCTCCAAATTTCCGGTGATTACAGTTTATAGTAATGGCCCAGCATCTAACACTGTTTCAGGATCTACATTATTGCATTTATCAGAGGGAGATTTGGTTTATTTGTTCATCGAAAAGGGTGATATCACTGAATCTAATCAACTTGATCATGCATATACATCTTTCTCGGGCTATCAATTGTCTGATAAAGCTCCTACTGGTTTCCTCTCTGGAATTGTTGGAAGACAATCAATGGCATCAGCTTCAGATGATCGCACAGAGAGCTCAGAGTCGACCGATGTGAATAGTAAAGTGCAATTCAAACCTGATCACAAGGATCATATCTTTGAACTAATGGAGGCATCTGATGATTCTGATGATTGAATATCAATCAGTCTTTTCAATGCCTAATTCCGACTTCATGAATTGGAGTATCTATAAATATTCACCACATTTGCCATTTTTGACATTAAATTTTATGGAAAATTTTAGCTTCACATTGCTAACAAATACGGGTGGTTCTTGATACAATCGTATCGATTTGATTAAAATTATGTAAAATATTATGACAAACTATCTGTATGATGAAACAAAATAATTGTCTGAATTATGTCTATTTATTTTACTAAATCAAAACTCATTTTAAAAAAGCCAAACGCAGAATGAAATAAAGTCCAACGTTAATAACACGAATTTCAATCCAATTCCTTAATAGCATTCATTATTTGGCTCACAAATATGAAATGAAATTTAATCAGAAATATCACCTAGAATCATTACAACTTAGGCTTAATTTGACTTTCAATTACCCATATGGGTAAAACCTTCAAGTGATCGAAGTTATACAAGAAACGAGTCCATTGGATAAAGTAAATTATTATTACTAATAAGCCTGTTGAGTTTGTTTGATTGTCAATTAATAATAGTAAAAATCATCATGTTTATGTTATTTGTGAGTTTGATATTCGTTTTAACAGCAATTAACTCATCTCAAGGAATAGAGGAGCAAGAGATAACTATTGATAGACTGAAATCGCTTGTGCAATTAGATGAATTGCCAGTTCCTGAAGTCGATTTAGAGTATTTGCGGCAATCTCATGTAACAGATCCTTCAGTACAATTAAATGATGCTGATGAAGCTCCAATTTCTCAATTAGAATTGATTCCATTTGTTGATTGTGTTTCTCGTGCAACAGGAAAACGTTTCCCGACCATTGATGATGTTTTGGCCAGACTTGAAAGTTATACACTTTCCGAGTTTATTGATGAAATGTTTAGATGCTTACAATCAAAAGCATTTCCCTCTGGATTCAACAGAAATACAAAATCATCTCGATTAATGAGAGCTTTATTCAATTCTGGTTTTCGACCCGAAGAAACTCCTAAAGAAGAGGATCCCGACCGTGAAAACATTGAGATAAAACCATCGAAACCAGGAAAAATCGAGAAACCAGAAGAAACTGGTAAACCTGGTAAAATTGAAAGACCAGAAGAACCAATTGTGATACCTAAACCTGGCAAGGAACGTGGTGATGGAAGAATCGAGATCTTTTTTGTTCGACTTCGTTGGGTTCTTTGGCAATATTTGAGGCAGTTGAAGAAGCAAGGCTCGAGAACATTGCAAGCCGAAGGTCGAACCATTTTCTTTGATAAAGAACCAATCTACATTAAACGAAGAAACTACCGTCTAACCCGTTTACCGGTCGTTTCCGAGATTGATTGTTTACTTTTTGATGTTGATTGTAATACCCTTGTTATGGACTCGAGTGCTGCCATCCCTGTTCGTATTCCAGTTCGTGTTCCCCTTCGTGTTCCTGTTCGTGTTTCAAGTCATGCACTGGATCACAAATTTATTCATGCTGACCATGATGAAGATGACGACGAAGATGATGATAATGATTTACTTCTATCTGACAGTGAAAACATTGGTGAATTAATTGCTGATGGTATGGAAGATGTTGCCAAGACTGTCTATCGTTTCTCTGGAGGCTTTAGAAGAGTGCAAAGACATTTGAATAGATTCATCAATTCTGGAGCTGATCTGATCCTAGGTTAACTGCAATAAAATCAGAAAACAAAATAAGACAAGAAAAATTATAAATAAAGTTTCGATTTCAATAAAAGTTAAATATTAATAGTTTGCATAACGGCAAGACGGTTGTTACTAAAAAGACACGATTTGTCTCATTTGTATATAATTGAGACAAATAGGCAAAAACAAGTAAAAATTCATTTCTATCAGATTTAGGCTCTGTTAGTTGACATAAGAACTAAGTCCATTTTTGCGATTTGAAAATTGCTCTGATCAATGGTTTTTGCGAAAATCGAGATCAAAGTTGCAACTTCACCATGTTTTGCAACATGGCACAGCGCAAATTGGTAAAAATTAAGAGCGTCTGAAATACCTTTTTGGTTAAATATACCAGAAGAATGACTTCGGCTACAAAAAAGACTGAGATGATGGGTTCAAATAAGGTGAAGTGATTGTTTTGTTTTCAGAATTGGACGGAATCGTTTGGTAAATTGATTTAGAGTCTTTAGCAGTTCCAATGTGATTACATTCTGGACTAAAGAGGCCAGAAGAGGTGCATGTTAGTCAAAAGTAACACAATATTGATGCAAATGATGATTTAAAAACAAAGAGTAGAAAGTTTAGTTTAAAGGACCATAAACAAAAAGTTTGACTCTTGAGTTAAGATTTAGGACTTTGTGGGTGCGTAGGGGCTTAATTACTAAGTCTTGTACCTATCAAAAAGTTTTCTGATGAACCGTTCTCGAGAAAATCGAGGTCAAAGTTGAAAATTCGATTGCATTTCATGCGGTTCTGGAAGCAGATATTTTCATAAAACTCATTTCCCAGATGTAAAATTTGATGGCCAACAAGAGCGTGCATTAATTTTGCGAGAAAAATTTTCTGATTTTTCGCAAAACAGATCATTTCGGTTTAAATTTAAACGTGTCGCATTTGGTGACCGTAATAGTTAGAGACTTGAAACTTATTATTTCTCGATAAAAATTGTTTGTTCACACCAACAGTCAAAAACTTTTTTCAACATCTCGACAGTTCTCTCGATTTCGGTCTTTAACCCAAAAACTTTGAGTCTTAATATTTCGAGATTGGTAGCCCCTACAATCATAATTCTTTGACCATTCGTTAGATTTTATTAGGGGAAATAACAATATAAGAATAAATACCGCAGAAAATCTGAGCTAATCATTTAATCATCAATTTCCTTCTAAAGTTCCATAAGGCTTGTGTTTGAGTTAACGCTTATCTCTAGAAATCGGGTATCAAATGTAAAGTTAATGTAATAAAACGATAGAACTTTTTTCAGAAGTTATGATGAAATAATATTTTAGTCCAAAATAAAATCTAATCAATGGTGAAAGAATAACGATCGTAGGTGCTATGGTTCTCGAAATATTCAGACTCAAAGTTTTTGGGTTAAAGGCCGAAATCAAGCAAACTGTGGAGATATTGAAAAAATTGTTTGATTGTTGATGTGTACAATAAATTTTTATCGACAAATAATAAGTTTCAGTCCTCTAACTATAACGGTCATCGAATGCGACACGTTTAAATTTAAATCGAAGTGATCTGTTTTACAGAAAAGGGAAGATTTTATTTCTAAAAATAAGTGCATAATCTAATTGGCCATCAAATTTTACATCTGGGAAATGAGTTTTATGAAAATGACTGCTTCCATAACCGAATAAAATGCAATCGAAGTTTCAACTTTGACCTCGATTTTCTCGAGAACGGTTCACCAGAAAACTTTTTGATTTTGTACAAGACTAAGTATTTAAGCCCCTACGCACCCACAAAGTCCTAAATCTTAACTCAAGAGTCAAACTTTTTGTTTATGGTCCTTTAAACTAAACTTTCTACTCTTTGTTTTTAAATCATCATTTGCATCAATATTGTGTTACTTTTGACTAACATGCACCTCTTCTGGCCTCTTTAGTCCAGAATGTAATCACATTGGAACTGCTAAAGACTCTAAATCAATTTACCAAACGATTCCGTCCAATTCTGAAAACAAAACAATCACTTCACCTTATTTGAACCCATCATCTCAGTCATTTTTGTAGCCGAAGTCATTCTTCTGGTGTATTTAACCAAAAAGGTATACTGTGAAGTTGAACAAATGAGTTGTTAGGTGAAAATTTGGGTTGATTTACGCATGCAGGGTGAAATTAGATGCAAGGTCTTGGACAATACTCTGGATTTGCTTAAACATTTCAACATTTTAGCAGACAATTAAAATGAACGTGTTAACAATTAGTTATCTATGGATTGATCAGTTTTAATTTTTCCTGATAATCAAAGTTAATACAGTAGTTTAATATAGTTACTTGGAGTGTCATTGAATAAATAATTAGTAATTACAGATATCCATCAGATGATTCAGTCTCTAGCTTGTAAGTTGATTAGTTCACTCAACTAACATATTGGATAAAAATCTTATTTAGGTGCTAACATTCATTTTAATGCAATCAATTAATCAATCTTTAATTGAATTACTTCGATTTGGTGACTTTTGAAATTGTTACCGCAAAAAACAAATTGTAATTTAATTGAGAAACCTTTTTCCAGTTTGTATTATTCAGAACCTGATAATCAAGGATAAAGTTAGCTGCAGTTTTAACTGTCCAAATTGGATTTGACTTTTAATCACAATTATTAACTGTTGTGTCGATGCAAATTGTAATCGATTTACGAAATTTGCGTTTTCTCATTGAATTAACATACTAATGAATAATTAGTAATGCTTGAGCTTGACCATTTTCATAATTAAAAACAAATTGAGATAACAAGGTGTTTATTTGCCAAATATAAATCTCATTAACATACATAAATCATTTAATTGTGGACTGATTAACATTATAGTCAAATATTACATAAAAATTATGCTTATGATTTGCCTTTTTACACTCCAATCAAGCTGTTATTCCCAATGTGTTACATCAATGATACACCAAACTGTAAGACAATCCTTTCGACCAGACTATCATTTTCTAGAGGTTACTTCAATTGTTCAAGCATGCCAAGTCAATTGTTATCAATAGACATCAATGGATAAAAATAGAGGAAGAAGTAGACTAATCTGATTGAGGTAGTAAATGTTAAGATTTGGAAAGGGTACCAGATATTAATAGATGAAAACTAATTGCTACCAATTCATCAATCTAACAGCATTTCATTACAAGCGAACATTACAATCATATGAAATAATTTTCATCGAGAAACCAAGTCATTTCATCGATCGAGGAAAACTTCTGATAAAAGCTTATCAAAATCTCATGATTCAATATTTAAGTCACTAATCAGATTGACAGCACTTTACTGTACTCAAGTTGTAAAACACGATAAGAACAGCATTCAAGTAGAGCAAATAGATCAAAATAAATAGCCATTATTATTAATACAAAGATGGTCGATATTGCTATTGAATGGATCAACATTGGGAATAAGATGAACGTTTTGTTGATAAACTAAATAACAGTTTACTCCTTTTATTTGCTTCAATACACTTATTGTACTTGACTCAATTGTAACAAACTGTGGATTTAACTATCTTTTACATGTAATAATTGAAATAAAGTTCATTTTAGTGTAAGCTCTTCAAGATAACTAATGACTGTTAAGGCAATGAGATTTAGATTAAGGCTATCACCTTAAAACAATTAATCATTACAATTTGATCGGCATCTCATTTTCAATATTTAGTTTTATTTCATGCTTTAGGACCTTTTTGTTTACCTTGATGTTGACAGTAAATTGCATTGATCTCTTGATCAATCAAATTATACAATGTTGTACTATTTTTCAATATTAAATGCTGTTTACAATTTTGACTGATCATACGATTAACTCATCTCTTATTACAATTGTTTTATGATCAAAAGAATACAAAAAAATGAATTTTGTTCTGAGATTTTTTCCTGAGCAACCTGAGGATACTTTTTGTTGAGGATTTTTTTACAAATCAAATTTACATTTGTTAATTGCTTCAATACAATTATTTTAAATTGAGTAGTCGAGGACTTTACAATCAATACAAGTTGCTCTGCTACTAATTATTACCATTATCAACATTACAATTATATTATTATCATTGTTTGTTTATAAATAAATTTTACCAACTAAAAGCTGATTGAATATCAAATAAATTCTGAATCACTTCAGAATCTTACAAGATTAAAATGAATTTCAAAGTTGAGATTCGTCTACGTCTTAGGAGAAATAAAAATTTACAATAATTCAAATGTTTCTAACAGACATTTGAAGTGGAAGAAAATTAATAACTTAAAATTGAATTTAAAAACATAATAGAGATGAAGATAATACAGAAGTTACGATGTTTTTGTAAAAGGAAACAGATAAACAAACTTGTTGGTGGACGAACATAAAAGGACTATAAACAGTAGCTAATCATTAACCTTTCCCTTAATGTATTTTATACAATTAATTTATATTATATAATATAATATGTGTTATTGTTTTCTTTGGCTTAAAAAATATGGAAGGATGTTGGTTTATCTCCTTGTTTCCTGGTATTGGTAGCTTGGGTCAAGATTATTACATGTTAAAAACCAGTCTCAAGATAATCAATTGGAACTGTTAATCTTAGTCCTGCATCACTATCTGATGGATCGTCTGGAATAAAGTAACGTCCTTTGGTTGGTGATCGACCATAATCGGAATCATTACTATCCTCATTATCTTGATCATATTGGCTTGCTAATGGCACTTGGGAATCAGTATGCTTAGGACTGTGAGCTGTGAGTCTATGAATCTGTGATTTAGGTCCCCAATCAGATGTTGGTTGCATCAAAGTTGATATTCTCTGAAAAAGAGATTGAGAAATTATTAAATTGGTTTGAATTTGATTCAACTCAACTTAAGCTTTACCACAATCTTTCAAATTGCATTGCAAGTGAATAAAGTGTAAAACTTGCGAGTTAGCAAATCACATTACCTGGAAAATCGGCCCTTTCCCCATCAAAATTTTATGAAAGGCCAGAATAGGTATGGCTGAAATGGATAGGAATGATAAGAACCATCCGATTCCATTGGCCCAACCCGGGAATAAGTGATCACCATAGCTACTAGGTACAGTGTTGAATATAGAGCAAATAAGAATCATCTGGTTGTGAAATAAAAAGATTTGAAAAAATGAGAATACGATTAGAAAATATTTCAATAAATTAGTGAAATCGAGAAGAAATTAGTCTAAAATTTCAACTAACATTTTACTTATTTTTGGAATCGTGAATTGATAACATCAAATCACTTTTTACCTGTTTACATTTCAAGCTTTTAATCAAGATGATCATATCATGACTTGATTGGGTTCAATGTTTAGCTTTGATTGTGTTTTGTTATGTTAAATGCTTACCGCAATGATTGAAGGTGTAACCCATTTCAATAAAAGTTTCCAATAATTTTTGGGGTAAGGATATTTTCCAAGCATCTCTTTGGTATCATCAAAAAATCTATCAACCCCGTAAACCCAACCAATAACAATTACTTCAATCAAACCAATTGTTAGGGCTGAAAAGCTAGCACAATAATCATCCATCAATTGAAGTATGTACATTCCACCCCGAGTACACATACTCAGCCCCAAGATATACATGACACTGCAGACAGCACACAAGACCAAAGGTTTTCGGTGTCGCAATGAACGAGGCCAAGTATCGACAACTCCAGTGACAACAGTTTCAATGAGAGTAAATTGTGTTCCAAGACCGAGGGTTAAAAGCATCGAAAAAAAGAGGAAAGACCAAATTGGGGAAAGTGGAAGTTTAGCAACAGCCTCTGGATAGACAACGAACGCCAAACCAGCTCCTGTAAACCATCAAAAGTGAAATAAAAAGTAAAGGGTAAGAAAGATGAACTTGCAAAAATCCATGGCCAATGTTTAGCAAATAGAAATTTAAATCATCAATTGTTAAAAATATACTAGTTTCAAGCTTGTGTTCAACATAAGAATATGTTGAAGTGTTTAAATATGTACGTGGAAGTAGATTATTACTTGTTATTAATACTTGATACCTTGTAAATGTTTAAATCATTTAAAGGTCAAGATTAATTACTCTGGTGACACTATTGTGATACTAACGAGGTATTTTATCAAATTGACTTATCTTCTAAATTAAGTCAAGCAGATAAGGATTAAATTTATATCATAAGACAAGTAAACGGCAAAACAGTTTGTTGCCAAAAATTTTAGTCTCATGATATATTAAAAACTAGAGGAACACTTTGAGTTTGTTTTCAATTTGCTCTATTTTTGATTATTTTTGGATTATTGTTTTCAAGAGTAACTTTCACCAAAAAAATTAACAGGAAACTATAACATCTTTCAGCAATGAGTCAATGTTTTCCACACAATAATAAGGTACCTTGAGTTGCGACCTCAGATACAGGTAGACCAGTTTCTTTTGCCATGAATCCAACAACACTAAAAATAACAAAACCAGCAAAGACACTTGTTCCACAATTGCCAAATGCGACAATCAAAGCATCCCTATTAGACAAAATAAGAAGATTAAAAGGTGATGAAATTGTTCGGTAAGGAGAAGTGATGAATGAACATGAGATAATTTGTAGCTTACTTGAAAAAATTGTTATGAAAACGATTGTAACTGGCTAAGGTAATCAATCCACCCCAACATGGTGACAATGAGAAAAATATTTGCATAGCAGCATCTTTCCATACTTTTATTTCAGCTAAACGATGCCATTCTGGTGTTAAATAAAAATGAATACCATCAAGGGAACCTTCCAATGATAATCCACGAATAAGAAGAATGGTTAATACAAAGTATGGAAACAAAGCGGTAAAATAAACAACCTGCAAGAAGTGAAAAGTGAAAAAGTGCGAAAATAAAAAATCCAGTTTGATTAATTTGTCTGTCTAAATTTATGATCTTGATGATGGTTTTGGGAAAGGGTTCGTCAGTATTACAAGGATTGGTTTATTTAAATCAGATTAAAAGGGGAAGAAAGGGATAACAGTTATCAAAAATGTACCTTTCCCAAGCTTTTGACGCCTCTAACAAGGCAAAAGAAAACGATAAGCCAACAGATGAGCAAACACAAGGCTAGTTCAATGCGAATGCTTCCAAGCTCGTGAATTCCTGAAGATATTTCCAACACAAAATTACTGTTAGAAAAATTTGAAGAAAAATGAGAGAGGAAAGGAAACATTAGTAAAAATGAAATCTTAAATAGGTGAACTTTTCAGGCTGTTTGAACATTATTGTAATGCATGCATTAGATATAAAAAAATTATTCGAGAAATGGTACATAACTACAACTTCAGGTCAGTTTGCCTGACATTGGGCAAATCGACTGATTGAGATTGTGTTAATAATTATTTATAAATTCACCGAAACTTACTGAAAATATTCATCACTAGCAGTTTTTGAATTATATTTAGAGCTGGTAAGGTTTTGCCAGATTTCTTGAGATACATTTTCTTGTAGAATGCAATCTCCATCAGAATCCATGATTCCTTTATGAGCTGTACAATTTTTGGTGTCAAATTTACGGCAGGCTAAAATTAAGAAAATAAAATAAAATAATAAAATTAGTAAAAAATCAGATAAATTACCAAACTATTCATCAAGTTCTGCATTGTTTCAATTTGCAATCGATTGAATCTGATGATAAGTCAATCAATATGATATTAATAACCTCAATGCCCATTTTGAAAATAGCAATGATAAAACAAGCAATGTGTAGTGATCAACAACAGTAATGATATTATCCTGACAATTTTACCTCAGAATGTATCAAATAGGAAGTAAAATAACACATGAAACCTAAAAAGGTTTCGTGAAATGGAAACAAAACGCAACAATATATTTGCTATAGAGACTTCCATTTAGTAGTACATTAACCTAATCATCGATTTTATTTTATTTTTATTCGATATCTAAACTAATAAATATTCAAAATTTAGTTAGCAATATCAATAAAGAGTTCAAGAGATTGAAATATGGGTTAAGGAGTATTAATACATGCACAAATTTTCCTTTCGTCTTAAGGGTAGGGACTTTGTGGGTCTGCAGGGACATGAAAACTGACAATCTTTTGAGTCGATCTTTTCTATCAATTAGTTCTCTGCTTTTCAATGCGTTCTCTTCGTACCATTTGTATTCCATTCATTTTCACATGAACTCCATGGAAGTTTATCAGTAAATGACGAAAAGAGGTAGAACATGGCCCAAGCTAGAATCATGTTATAATAGATTCCAACCAAACCAGACATGAGAAACATGGCATAGCCCAATCCTTGAAATAAAGGTGATATTTTCCATATAGTGATGGGGCCTTCGCTTGCATATTGACCAAAAGCAAGTTCCATAAAAAACAAAGGTAAACCAACAAATAATAACATAATTGTGTATGGAATGAGAAAAGCTCCTGTAAAAAGAGAGAAAAAATAATTAGAACGATTACAATGAATAAAAATCGTTGTTTTTCACAAAATTGTACCAAGGATACCTCAACTAAAGATAAAATCAAGTGTCAATCAATGCAAAAAAAACTTTAAATTTCAAAACAACATTCTTAGCTAACCAAAAATACACTCGAAAATGCATGATAAATCGTTAACTTGTTGACTTCCTCGAGAAGAAAGATGTGAATTATGAAAGATACCGAAAATTGTACCATTACCATTTCCAAGAACCTAATTTTAGATTTTTTAACGACAATATACTAGAACACACAATTTAAAAAATCTAAAACTGTTAAACAATTGAATTATAATGAACAATAATACAAGAAATCAATTAAAAAAGTACAGTAAAAATTAACAGTAAAAATGCAAACACGAGATTAACATAGAAAGCGCCAAAACTGTGCTTCTGTTATCCCATCTTGCTTTTGGCGCTAAATTCAACTTTAAATAAAATAATAACTTAATCTTCAATAAGACAACTTTGAACAATTAAAAATTCTAATTAATTGAAATAAAATGAATTGAATTTACATTAGCCTAATAACAACATTTAAAAAGCAGGTAGAAACGAAAAAAGGTAAAAAATGAAAATATAATTTAGCTCATCAAATCTAAATCTCTAACACTTAACCAATTCATTTCAAGGATTGATCATTTCAACCAAAAGTCCAGATTAATCAGTGATGAACATAAAAAACAAAAGACGGTGCAAAAAACTCGAAAATCAATAAATTTCCTTTTATTGATTGAATCAAATGACGTTATATATTGTACATTAAGCCGGGAAAAAAATCTTGTTCAACCCTAGAAATCCTAATCAACATCGCACATTCATATTGACAGAAAATGATTCAAGTGAAAAAAGGACTATTACTTAATTTAATTTTCATTTCTACATCATTTCTTATTTCAACATTTTCTTATAACAATCAATCAACACTTTCATGTATTGAACACAGAAAAAAACAGTTTTGATTGATTGAATGGGTAAATTAATAAAATAAACAACAAAACACCATTCAATTGTCATTTCCAATCAAACCGTTATCATTGATATTGATGGAAGTGAAAAGGTGAGAAAAATGTTTCAATATTTATCTCTTATATGAATATCATGTGAATATGAATGCCATTGAAGAAAAGGACAAAAATATTGAAACATTTGAAGTTGTTGCTTGAAAACATTGAATGTTGAACAAAGACGGTGACAAACAATTTTTAACTTGAACATTTAAAGTTCAGATGATTTCGTCTGAAATTGAAATTCAAGCTGTTGAAATTTGGTTTAGCATTTCGTCAAGATTGATTAAACCTTTAAAAATTGATTCCAAAATTGAGTTATCTCCAAATGGAAAAGGTTTAATCATCAAAATATTTCTTGGCTCAAATTTTTTGTTTGTCCTTCCTCAACTTTCCTGTTTACCTTGTCAGAAAAAAAGTTCAAAAAAAAACAAGTTGAGTGAAAAGTTCATCTTCATTTTCAAGGAGGAAGGTGATCAAGAATTGCCTTGGACTGAGGTAAAAAGATGAGACAAGATGATGGTGATGAAAATGAGAGTGAAATGTATCTTCCAAGTTGAACATTGGCAACATTTTTTACACGATGAAACCTCAAAATACAGAAATGCAAGAATCATGTTATTGTTCAAGTTGAATGTAAGGTGCTTTTTGTTTGAAGTTCAGAAGAGACTCGGATCATTATCTTGGTCTTATTACGTTCATTCTCATCTTTGAATGGGAAGAGGATGAAGAAGAAGAAGGCGAAAGGAAAAGATGAAAAGATGATGCTTTGGGGTTATTATTGTTTCTTTCACTCTTTTCACTGATATTACAATAGTGAATCGATATTTTTACTAGCAAAGTGAGTAAACTGGAGAGAGTGTTAAAGCTCAGACAGACTCTTGTTTAGGCAAGTTTACATGATCACATCTTATGGTGGGAATGATGAGCAAGAGTGGGAGGATGTGGAAAGTAATGGGGAAAGGAATGGGTGATGATAAGTGATTAAATGGATTCCCGCTCAAGGTTTTCATTCTTATGTTTCTCGTGTCTAAATCAAATTTTACGTCAAAATGAAGTTGTGAGCCGGCTTACAGGATTCACTGTAAACCATGCTCAATGGTTCAATCAGATTGTTTTTATTTCACTTAACGCAGAATCTCAACACCATTAACCAGGAATTAACCAGAAAAATAAAGGAAATTGAAGTTTCCAAGATAATCATGGGAATGGTTAATTTACATAAATGATAAATTTCGAGGCAAAAGAAAAATTGATTACAATCAATGGGTAAACACGGGATGAAAACTATTAAAATTGTAATTTGATAGTAAGAGATTTGAGATTACAATTTTCATGGTGGTTGAAGTAAAGGTTGATTAGGTTTAATCATTTACCAAGACTCAGTTTACAATTTGGTTTGATGATTTTCTTGTAGTTGCATTGACTGACATTTACATTTTTCACTAACAACCAAAAGGGTAGAGAAAAAATGACAAATACTAATGACAACAATTAACATACGGTATGTTTAGAGGTGAATTATTAAGTATTACTTACCTCCACCATTGCGATAACATAAATAAGGAAATCTCCAAACATTTCCTAAACCAACAGCATAACTTAAACATGATAAAATAAATTCAATTCCTGAAGACCAATTGCCTCTTTCAACAGTTTTCTCGTAGCTTGGAGTTCGGGTTATCTTGAGCTCGGGACTGTCTGAACATGCTGATGACATTTTGATAGGAGTAAATGATATTTTATCTTTAACCTTTTCCATATTGGTATAGCTGGTAATGGCGAGAGGTCAATGATTAAGGGGTAAGAAGCAAGAAATGCTTTCCGATGGACAGTGAAGCAGAGAAAAGGGGAGACAAAAGCAGCTAAAGGTTGATCCAATAATCAGTTGAACAGTGGATGACACAAGTCAAGGATGATGATGAAGCTGAAGGAATCGAAGATAAACTTAACGGTAAAGATGATATTGTAGTTGACTAGAGAATCCAATAATCAATTTTACTATTTGATTTAAAGTTAAGTAGAGATCTTGCGAGAGGTAAACAGTGCGAGTTGAAAAAACACAAAAATAAAGAGATAATTGACACCATTTACTGATGATGAAGATTAAGATGAATGATAATTACTAAAATCAAGAGTAAGAGAGGGATAGATAGGGATGGCAATGATGAAGTGAGATCATAGATGAGAATAAGAGAGGAAAACTGAAGGAAGATGAAAAATATGGGCAAAACGTGGTGATGTACGAGGATATGTTTGCAGTAAAAGTGATGCCAAAGAAAGAGAAGATAGAAAGGATAGAGCAGCTTTCTTTGTATCGATTGATGCAATCAAATAAGATTAACTAACCAAGAATAACTGAAAGTAAATGCAATTCGGTTTTCTTAGCATCACTTTGAACAGTCTCACTAGTCTAGTAAATCGAGTTTTACTATTTTAAACCAAGAGATAGAGCCACTTATCAGAATATCTACCAGAGATTCGGTTACCTATTAATAGATACCAAATTATTAATAGATAGTCGATTGATGATCAAATGTCTTACTGGCAGATAAAACAGCAGCTGGCAGCGGCTGAATCGAATTTCGGTTCAAATTCTAACCTACAAATCGCTAAGATTTAAAGTGCCAACTAGCTACCCTACAATAAATCCTTAATAGAGCGATGTACAACCTGTACAGTCACTTTAATAAATATTTCAACCCATCAGCCTTCGGCGCCAATATTGTTATCTAACCGGCTCATTAGAAGCATATCATTTCTCGAAAGAACCAGCATTCAAAAGTGTAAATTGACTGATTTTAAAGACTTACAATTATTGTAAGAATATTGAGTTTTCATCTGAACATAACCATTTTCAAATGATCAAAACCTGCCTTCATGTGACAAAAACTTCTCAACTCTCAAAAACACTTTATTCAGTTATTATTTAGTTGATTGTTAGGAGTATTCACAAGAGTGCATTAGTGCTGATTTTACCTAAGTCTAACAATTAAAAATAATGAATTTGGTCAGTATAAATTTTTCACGAAAGTCAATTGCGGTAAAATTAGGCCTAATAAACTCTGAATATGCTTAACAATTAACGAATAATTAAAGGTTTTTTTTGCATTTGAAAATAGTTTTGCTCTTATCTGTCTTTGAGTCAGCCGGTTTCACTCTTTTTAAAGTTGGTTCTGTGCTTTCCAGAGAGACTGTATTTAAAATAACTACCATGTTAATTGTGAAGGTTAAGATATGTTTTTCTTGTTTATGAACGAATTAGTTCTGATTGAATTTTAAATGTATTCAACATTTTCAATTAAATTGATCTTTAAATGTATATTCTAACTGCCATTAGTGAAAATAATTAAGATAAGTCATGTGAGGAAACAATTACCTAAAATGTTTACATTGAAAGCGTTTAAGAGACGACAGTACATTAAGCATGGAAATTTCAATTTAAACATTGTATTTATTATGATAATTTTTTTACAGTTTACAATATCACCATTTATTAAAACCAATTATCACTATGATATTAGATACAATTGCGAAAATAATGGAATAGACGATATTTTGGTAAACTAGGACATCAGTGAATGCTTTACCCTTCATCAATGACCAGACGAGAGAGTCGCCTGATAATGCAAATGGAAACCAGTAGGTTAAAGGCTTGATGAAATTGGGCAGAGACTCATATGGCCAAAGTAAATAACCAAGAAATAGACTGGAAAAGCAATAAGCTGAATGGAGGAAAGCTGCCATAATTAAATCATTGGAAAGTAAACCGATGAAAATGCCTTTACTTATTCCACAAACAGTTATCGCTATTATTGAAAGTACAACAGCTATCCAGGAGCCTCTCATTGGGAAATTCAGTGTTGGTATCAATAGAGTGAAAAAGATCAAGTAAATAGGAACAATTACCAAAGTTGATGTTACTATTAAAGCCATGGTCAACTGAATACGACTAATACCAGCAGCCATAAGACGTTCATTCATCCTTTCATGGGCCTCTTTTATTGTCCAGCTCATCATTAGAATGATTGTAAATTGTTCAACAGCATAAAGAAAATAACGAATCAAAACATTCTCATTGGAGGCCATTAAATTATCAGGCTCATAGGATTCATAAATTGGAGTTACTGTGAAAAATTGATAATAATTATTTGTTACATTAAGATTCGTTTGGGTTTCGTGCATTAGTTTGGTCAAGCTTCGACTTATTGTGATAACCAGTGTATCAAATTTAAATTGATTGGAAGCGTCTACGGTCAGGAATATTTTATCTCTAACTTTTGATTCAGATGCTCGATGGTGAACAGAGGGGCTTAGTGATGAAAGACCCTTTTCGATTTTTTCCCGAATACTTTCTTCAAAATTTTCTCCGATAATGAAATATCCATCGATTAGTCCCTTTTCCAGATCTAATCGACTTTCCAGTTCTGAGTTGACCCGCTCCAATCTGATACTGTTTTGGGATAAAAATGATAGAAATTGTTCCGTTATGTTTCTGTCACTTGTTCCAAGGTTCATATAATTCACTCTCAAATCTTTAGGAAAGCGTCCAAACATGACACCAAAAGTCAAGGAGATTATGAAAATTATTAAACAAGATAATATGATGGGATAAATCATGAAACGCTGACATCTTAACCAAAGTCGCCACATCAATATGATGAGGACAGTAAAGTTTGACAATGGAGTCCATGTTTCAGTTATAGATGATGAAGATGCTAATGATGATGGGTCTGAGGAAAGTGTTGAACTTGATGATGATGGCGATTGAGTATTATGAATTTGAGTATTTTGGCTGCCAACAGTTGACTGTTGAACTGTTTTCTTCTGATCCATTCCATTTGTTTGAACAGATGGAGATAATTTTGGCGAGTTTGATGAAGATGATGACGAAGATGAAGACGATGACGACGATGATGGTGATGCTCTGTTTCGTGAATCCCATTCAGTGCACAATCGAAAAACTGCCTTTTCCAAGGAAGTCTCTTTATACTTTTCCATGAAAGACATTGGATTATCCTCTACAATTACCTGGCCTTTACGCATCAACCCGAATCGATCAGCTTTAACAATTTCTTCTAAATAATGAGTGGTTACTACAATAGTCATCTTATAAGTGTCCCTAAGATGAAACAAATAAGTCCACATTTTGTAAACCAAGAGTGGGTCCGAGCCAACTGTGGGCTCGTCAAGGAGTAATAGCTTTGGTCGATGAATAAGAGAAGCAGCCAAGGAAATACGTCTTCGTTGACCGATACTTAAATTACTTATCAACCTATCTGGATATGGAATATCAATTACTTTGAGAAGCTCGTCGATTCTTTCATTAACAGTATCCATTGGTAAATCACTAAGTCGACCAAAGAAAGTCAACATTTCCTTTATGGTCAAGTCTTCATTAAGTGCCAAATCTTGAGGCATAAACCCAACCAGTGGACCAGGTACTCCAAATCCTTTCTCTAACGGGGAACGACCAAAGACCAAAAGGCTACCTTTGGTTGGTCGATAAAATCCAAATATACATCGTTGTAAAGTAGTTTTACCACAACCTGATGGACCAATCAAACCATAAATGGCTCCTTTCGGCACTTTTATTGATAAATCTTTAAATATTGTCACTGGCTTCCAACTTTTACCCAACTCTAAACTCAAGTTGAGGCCAAGAATGGCATAATCGCTAGTTTTGATCTCCATCAAGAACCTATCAGGTAATAAAGTGAAAGCAAAAGAAAGAGAAAAATTAAAGATTATTCAATTTCGAGAAGTAATTCAATGTTTTAATTTCCTTTCCTTTTCTTTCATCACTCAAACAAAACCATTAAATTACTGAAATTAAACTATTTTTCCAACTCTCTTACAGAATCATTAATAATGCGAGATTGCGATCAAAACAATCAATGGCAAATATTGAACAATGCTTACGAATGAATTTGCAAATTATCCAGCCGCAGGCAGACCTTTCTCTTCAGTCGGAATTTAATGATCAGAATTTTGGTAAATACATTTTTATCGTAAAATTTAGAAGCCAAGAAAAGGATCAACTACATTCTAAGCTCAATTTCAAGGCAAATTTCAAGCTCATCCTTTTAGGAAGTCCTTTCTTGCATTTTCACACGACTAAAGTATATCAATTAATGTTTTTATTTATTTGATTCATATTCGTAATTTTACTCCTTTATTTCTCCTAAATTTGATATCTACAGGGCAATTGAAACAAAAAGCAGCCAACCTTATTTCATGTTCACCTTGACCAGGATAAACGTGCAATGAATGAGTAAAATTTTTTCATTATCATCAAAATCAAAATACCATCACTTGAAGATCGGTTAGAATTTCCGACCTTTTCATATTCACCCTAAGGGAGTATATATTTATTGTAATTAAGAATTATTACATTGAAAAGGTTAAGTAATATAATTGAAATCTAATTCCTACGCAATGATTTACTGATCATCTGGTTATATCATTTGTCAAATTTGCCTTGGAAATTGAGGTTACTAGTGACACTAACTTTTACCCCTGAAACTAATACTAGAATTATTTTTGATTTAACTCTTACAGACGCCTGTTCTCAATCAACTAATCAATCAATCTAAACCCAACAAGAATCAACTGGTCATAAACAAGCTCGATGGCTCATGATTTTATTGTTTTGAACGAGTATTTGATTGCATTGATTATAGTTTGAGTTACATGAAGTGACAATCAAATCTCAAAATGACCAACTCCTGAAGCTATTCTTACAAAGCAGAAGAATCTCGATTGGAATCAAGTACTTTATTGGCTCTTATTTTTCAACTCTTATACAAGACTATCATTCGTATTTAATTCAAGCAAAATTGATATTATCTTACCTTTACTGAAGAGACCAGATTATGATGAACATCTAAAATTTCACTTTGACCACAAGAACATGAAGGATGGCTTCCAATAGTAATTCACTTGCAATACAAGAAACTATCCATTTCAGGTTATAATTCCGTAGTGAGTGTAACAAGTAGTAACAGCAAAATATTAAAATCTTTTTTACTTTTATCAGGTGTGACTATGGATCAAAGCTGAACAAAATGTTTTAAGAAACTGATCAAATACGGAACAAGATTCGAACAGAATGGATTTAGAGACTGGTCAGGATCGATGATTAGGAAAAAAACCCTAAAAAACTAACTCCTTTGGGTCCTCCTATTAATTTTTCCATCACTGTATTTTTACGGTGATCATGAGGATGATAATCATCATGGCCATGACAACCACGACGTTCAACTTCCTCCTTCTCGATGAAAAACATTTAAACGCTTGTTTTTCTTCGCAAAATTACCAAAAAGTGCCAAGGGTAAAAATGGAAATTAGCACAACGTTTAACACCATCAAGGGCGACAACTTGAATGGATACACCTCATCATTACTTGACTAACCATTTAACTGGATAATTAGCCAAATATATAATCTTAAACCACCAAAGGTCATTGATATTACGTTATTAATGGAATTGGATTTACGGTCATTTTACTTATCCTCAGCTTCCTGATTTAATGTAAATTCAATTTCCATTTCAAATCATTTTTTGAAATGCTCTTCTGAAGCTGTTACTAATCATCTCAATATTGATCAACAGTTTTTGCTAAATGTTGACAATTTTGAAATGTAATGTTGATGTAAACTCTGATTATTGTCCAATAACTTCAATCAGGTTATTACACTCGTTTTACCCAAGAAATTATCAATTATCATTGTCATCATCATAGGAGATCAATTAAGGAGGGTTAATTTCCCTAATTGTCATGAGATCAAAATTCATTTACTCTATAATGATTCAATAATTATTCAACTTGAAGTAATCAATCTTAAACTGCCAATTCTGCTCTGTTTCTGTCCAAATGATATTTTGAATCATTTAAAAATATCAATCAAATCCAATTGTGTGTTCTTGAAATTGTTAATCCTATTTCACCAAATTATTAACCTTATTATTTGCACATAGAAATTTATTATCCAACAATCATTAATATTTCAATCATTAAGTTTACATTAAGCTACAAATATACATCAACATCAACAAATCAACTACCTTGAATTGATACATAAATTGACACTTCAGGTTTACAGTATTCATTATATAATTAATTCCTTGATTTATTAATGAAAGACATTAATAATGATTTGTTTCACAGACAAAGCAAAAAATAACTAAATACTGTCACTCCAAGTGATTCAGACACGTGTAAATATGCATTCAAAATGCACTCGTATTTCATAAACAAAACATCAGATGACTCGTGTAGATTTTTCTAGTACTTTGAGGCAAAAAATTCACAATAAATAAACTATTAAGACTGAATTGCCAAAGGCGATTCAACTTCTCTCATTCAGAATACAGTTTGTACCATTTAGTTTAATGCTACTAAGGATGATAACTAAAAATGAAACATGAGTCAAATGGTGATATTTTGGTAATATTATCGCCCCTTAATCATGTCAAACCACAAAGTTGACAGTTAACACTTTCAAACTGTTTCAAAGATTCAGTGATGAAAATTCAAGCTTGGTTCATCAATTTTTCAGCAATTATGAACATTTGCCTAATACGATGTATATTTTAAAGATGGAAATTGATTTGCCAATAAAATTAGCTCTTAATTTTCATTGATAATCTTGTGTCTTTGAGCTAAAACTAATCACCTTGATCTAAAATTTATTTGTATTACAACCAAATATTTGAAATAATATTATAGCAAAATATTTTTAATAACGACTTTGTTGGTAATAGAAGATGTAAATTTTTATAACTCAGGATCTGACTCTGAAATATGTTTTACTTGAATTTTCTGACTATTGAATTAGTCTGTTCTTTCAGTAGATTTCTTGAATTCTGTGTTTTTGCTGCTTAATCTTGATTTCATTTGTCATTTCAGACAAATTTTGATACACAACTATCAGCTTCGCTCTCCATTAACTATTGTCCGTATTGTGAACCTTAAAAGCCTTGGAAGCTCTTCTCAATCGAACAGCTATTAAATTTTCCCTTTGTGCCTGAATTGACCATGTAATGTTATTGTATTTTGAAGCATAAAATTTGAACATTAATCTGATGACGCAAATGGACAAAAAGGCACGACGAGCTTATATAACACGAGATTGGACAGTGAGAAGAAAATGAAGAATAAATAAGAAGGTCGAGAACTAGAAAGTGGAAAATAATATTTATTGGATTTATATTTTATACCAGAACGAAGAGAAAAGAAAACAATTGATAATAACAATGGTTATTCAAAAACAGCAGAATGAAATTGACAATTTTCTTGTTCACCTTTTTCTTCCTTTACCCTTCTCTTTCAGCAAATTAAAGTCAACGGGCGATGAAAATAATTTTGTTTGCCAATTAACTCTACACTGTATTCTTGATACAAAATAAAACAATCAATTTGAAACAATTAATCACAAAGCAAAACAAAACGTGACAGATCATTCCAGGATCGATGATGGATAAATGAATAAACAGCGGGTAAAAAGTCAACTTAAGAGTGGGAGAGAGAATAGACTAAAAGAAAATGAACAAGAAAAAATGAACTTCATCGTAAATAATTAAATTAACGAGAAATAATTGATATGGATATTAAAGTGTGACAACTCAATGGCATTCAGTGTCAGTTTCTAAGGGGAATGAGCTTTCGGGCAACACAGGAATTTACTTTTCTCGCTTAGATCATCTTCATGAGAATGATTTTCATGGTCTAAAAGATCATTCCGATTAGAAAGACGTTTTGATGTCCGCTGATAATGGTTATCCTGTTGTTGTTGTTGTTGTTTTGGATGTTGATGATGACTTTGATGAAATTGTTGATATTGAAGATGATTTTTATTATTATTATTGTTGCTGTTGTTGTTGATTTCACTTTTTTCATTACATATTTCAATATTATCTTTATCATCTGCATTACCATCATGATTCAAGGTGAAAGTTGAGCAAGAAGGAGATCCATTGAGAGAGGAGCTTTGTGACCCTTTGGATGATTTAAATCGAGACTGTCTGACTTTGAGAGCATTATCAGCAGCATCATGGATTGTTAGGTAAACATGGGAAGGTGGAATATCAATAAAGAATCCATCCTTTTCAAGCATCTTCTGGACATGAGTAGCAACACAGGCGAGAAACGTTTCAACGCCAATGTGTGCATACTCTTGAATTGTCGACCGTAATTGACGGACTCCTGTAACATCAATGTAGGAAAACATTGAACAATCAATAATGATATGGGACAAGTGGACTGGAATAACGCTATTCAGAGATCCATCGAAACCATCTAAACCAGAAACCAAATCCAATCGGTGGGTCAACTCGCATGTTGACCATTTTTTGTCTCTTTTCTTGCGCCTTTTCTTTTCCGTCAAAACACCTCTGAATAAAAATGAACAAAAAATAACAGATTAATTAATAATGTTGAGAAATAAATTGTTTGTCATAAAATTAGATATAGATTTATTGTTGTTACTAATTGGACCGTAAGCTCTCACTGTAACAGTTGAATATTGATGACTTTAATCATTTGTTAACTTTTTGCTTCTCCATTGCTTTTCATCATTTTAATTCATTCATTTTTTTTTCTTTTCTCATTCTTTCGTCATGAATGTACACTTGATATTTTAATTTAAAATACAGAAGACTCAGGATAAACTGAATGAAACCTTTTTGTTCAATGGTAAGGACATGAAATTGTGGCAACAAAGACAAGGTTATCCCATATTAATCATATTTTTATCTGTATCAGGTTTACAATGGAATGGAATGAAAATTTGTTTCGTAATAAGATGATGAGAAAGAGAGAATAGAAGATGAACAAAATTGGATGAATCATCTAAAGGCTGTCCTTTAGACTTTCTGATCTCTCTGGTTATTCATTGTTATTCTCTGTGTTTATCATGATCAATATAAGATTCTTTACTCTATTTTACATCAAACCTTCTCTAAAAAACTCGATCCTTCTCAGACTCTCAACTGTTTTGACATGATGACAATAAAAGCGTTATAGTTGATGAAGATGAAAACCAATACATAGTTCCTAGAGATAATAATCACACATCATCATTATCATCTTTTTTTTGCAATATGTTTTGAAAAAAAGAAAACCTTGAATCTTTTTGAAGTGAATTTTTCAAGGAATCTGTATACCACGTCAAATCCACTTCACCCCTCAACTTTTCCTCTAACCTTCTAATTGGACCAGTCTGATGAGTTCCATGTATTTATATGAGAATGCGAATGAAAACAATCTTAGAAATTATTCTTACAACTGGAGAATGATTAGTTCAAGAGGAATCAAAAATAATAATAAGCAATTTGGGTTGAAAGAAGGCGAAAAGGTCGACGAAAATAAATTTTAAGACGTCAACTTGCCTCTAAATCTAATTGATTTGAGATAATTAGATTCTTTCTTTCTCTCTTTCTCTCCCTGTTTCATTATATTGTTACCCAGACTATGGATGACACTGAGAAAATTTAATTATTGATTGATGGTGAAAAAAGAAGAGAATGAATTTCTAATAGAAATAAATAATAGATGTTGACAAGGACTCACTTTACAGATACTCCTGTTTTACGTGCCAATCCTTTGTGAAAATATTCAATGTTGGCGAAATGAAGAGGACCACAAAATTGGTAAATTTTAACTCCAGGTATTTCGTTGGCTGAAGCATAACGATTAACTGGAACATAAACATCTGAATTGTTAACAAAACCAAGAAGATATATCTTGGGTCGTTGTGATTTGTAGATTAGTGTAAGTAAAGAGTAACCTAGACCAACATAAAGGCCGATATCAACATCAAGAAGGATGACAGCAAAAAAGGTTATTAACCAAATGGAAGCATCGAGTTTAGAGATACGCCAATAGTTGGCGAAATCTTTGACCTGGATGAGAAGAGTTTTAAGAGCGACCACAATTATGGCTGCTAATACACAATTTGGTAGCTCTGAAAGTAATGGACCAGCATAAAGAAGGACAAATAACAAGCCAACACAGTTGACTAGTGATACCAATTGAGTTCTTCCACCAGAACTTTCTTGGACTGCTGATCGTGAAAGAGAGGCCGCCGAAGGAATACACGAGAATAGGCAACTAATCAGGTTGGTTGTTCCAAGGGCAAGTAATTCTTGATTAGGATCAACCTTGTATTTGTGTCTATTGGCAAATATTTTACCTACAGAGATTGTTAAAGAGTATGCTACTATAGCAAGGGGTATGGTTGATATGGCAAGCTCACGAATCAGATCCAGTCTTGGATGCTGGGGTAATGGAAGCCCTCTAGGTATAGGACCGACAACTTGGACTCCCCAGCGTTCACGAATTGTGAAAATGTCGGAAATAACGGTGGACAGGATTACAAGAACCAATTCAATTGGGAAAGGTATAGAAAGAGAAGTGTGACGAGCAAGTAGAGGATTAATCACAAATTTGAATGCTAAAATGATGAGACAACAGGTAACAGAAATGATTAGAGTGGGTACATTAATGGCATCAAAGTTGCAGACTAGATCTTTGTAAGTATAAATTAATGCCAATGGACCGGATCGGTAGGGAAGATGAAGACCAAATAAATAAGATATTTGAGAGGTAAATACGTAAAAAGAACAGGCTGTTGTAAAACCAGAAATTAGCTGTTCAGACATGTAGACCGAGAAAAATCCGAGACGAAAAATACCAAAAACTAATTGATACAATCCAATCAGAAATGAAATTGCTATAGCAATCTCAACTGCTTCTTCTGGTTTATCAACAGGTCGGAATCCTTTAGGTTCAAGTACTTGGGCTATTAAGCTACCCGTCATGAGAGATACAACAGCAAAGGTTCCTAAGAAAATAAAATAATTAATTCAACAGTAAAGTTGATGTAGGGAAGGGTTAAGGAAAGATTAAGATGTAATATAATATCTACTAGGGTAGGAATCAAATTACTTACCAACAGCACAATGTCTTGAGGTTCCCATGAAAGAGTAAACAAGGGCTGGAAAGAAACTGGTGTATAACCCATGAACCGGAGGAACGCGAGCAATCAATGAATAACCCATTGATTGAGGGACTTGAAATACAAGAATGGTCAAACCAGCGATGATATCGACGATTAAATTTTTACGCACATTGTAATTTCTTAGCCAGGCCAGAATAGGAAACAACTTAACTAATTTTCGGTTAATATAGTCGACGGAAAAGTGTGGTTTAAGAAAGGAAACAACCTTGTTTCCCATTTTAAGGCTGGTCCGTTGTGAACCTTTAATAACCTCATATTGTTCATTAAATTCGGGTAAATTGTAAGATTGACGATTACTAGTAAATCCTCCAGAATTGGAACAACTGGTTATCTCAACAGTTGATTCAAAAAGCACACCTGGTCTTGGTTCAGCCGATCCTGAACGAATAACTGGATCCCGAGGATATTTGATGATTGGCGTTAACCCAATGTGATTGAAGTCATCAGCTTTTTTCTCGCAAATTTTAGTCTCATCAGCTATCTTGTTATAATTGTAAGAATTTGCAATTTGAAGATGACCTTCACTTGAAAATTTTCTGGTCAATCGGCCGGTATATGTTGACTTTGATTGTTCATCCTGGTAGACGATTAGGGCTGTCGGTGAAGGAACAAAGTTGTTGGTTACTGCATTGGAAGAGTTAACAGTCTTGTTGGAGAAAGTGTTGTTGATTGTTTTATCATTGTCACTATTATCCATTTGATGTTTTTTGATTAAAATTTGACTGAACTAAAATTTTAAACCATTAAAAAGATTAATTACAATTCAATACTCAGTATTAATAGGAGGAAAAAATGAAGTATAGAGGAAGAAAATAATAATGGACAAAATGAAGATGACTAGTGAATAAAGAGTGTTAAGCTGTGAACGCACATAGCCGTAAACAAGGGAAAACAATGAAATTTGAAGAGCAGAGTTACACACAATTAAGAACCAATTGTTAATGAAATAAAGGATAGTTAAATAGTTGATGGTCCGAAATCAATTAGATTTAACAATAGATAATTAAACGTAGGAATATATTTTTAATTTTGAATTATGGTGATTAATTGTGTGCATGTTAGAGGGAAAAACAAAGCATCACTTAATAACAAAACTTGGCGCAAAAATGAAAAGAGAAGACTGTTGCTTCAAAATGTAAACTTATTTATGACTTGAGGTTTGACAATGTTGATAATGATGATAATGATGATCAAGATGATGATGATGATGAAATTGATGATTGGGGTTGATGCGCAAATGATTTGCCGTGAAAATTATAAAAAATATATCACAAGCATTTTACATCTTATTGACTGGTTTGGGATTCCAATACAACTGAATGATACATTTTAACATAATCTTGCGCTTTTAATTCATTATTCAATTATCTATTCTAATTTCATGCTCATCTATTTGTTTACCTTTTAATTCAATTGAATTTGTATCAATATTAAACAATTACTGTATACATTTAAATTTGATCAACTCTAACCATAATTTTATCATTAATTTAAGTTAATGTATTTAAAAGTCGCTCGTGTTTACATTTCAAATCAATTCTTGTGACGATGAGACAATTAGATCCGTAAATGGTTAATTTACTTGAGATAAAATTCAAATAGTTTTTAGACTTTAACTTATAGGATCGCAAGATTTAGATTGCATTATTTAATTGATGATCACACTCTAAATCCTAGAATTCAGTAATCTATCGGTAATAGTAATGTAATGGTGATTCCCAGAAATAATGAACTAAAATTCATTGTTTTCCATGTTTTATTCAAGATGAATTTCATCTTTTTGTTAAACAAATGGCATTCAAGAGATGGCGTTGCTTTCATAAATTGGAAAATTGTTTTAGCTGAAGCACGTTTCTGTTTTACTAGGTTTCCTTAGCGTGAATTTAAATTGTTTAATCAATTAGTTAATTTTCTAATCTTTGACAATATTTAATTTTTAGAACGTTGTTTAGTCCACTTTCGACTTGAATCAATATGTCAACCACTGGTATGTTAACTGTCCAAGGACAAAGGATAACAGGTAACTCTGTTAGAACCCAAAATGGTATGTAATGCTTTGTTTTTCATTGTCCTCACCCTTATTTAGTCTGGCCAGCTCTTTCATCTTTTTCTCTATGAAGATGTTTTAAATTGACTCATTAATTAATCATTTGTTTTTTTTCTTAGTTATGGCATGTTCTGCCATTAGTAATGTCATAAAATCTAGTTTTGGTCCTATCGGTCTGGATAAAATGTTGGTCGATGATATCGGAGATGTCACTGTAACCAATGATGGAGCAACAATTCTTAAGCTTTTAGAAGTCGAACACCCAGCTGCTAAGGTTCTAGTAGATTTAGCAGACTTGCAGGATCAAGAAGTCGGTGATGGAACTACTACTGTTGTAAGTTATCAGCAAAGCTCTGAATATTGTTGGATTAGTCATGTGAAGAGTTGAAGAGTATCTCACAGCCCATATCTTGTCTAATGTATTGACATTCTCTATGATATTATACAAAACAAGAATGGGTAAATTAGATCTGTTCACTCTTAAATTGACTTTCGGTGATTATTTGCTTACCGAGAGACTCATTCGTTTGATACATTTCTCTATGTTTTTTACTAGGTTCTAATGGCAGCTGAACTCTTGAAAAATGCTGATGAACTGGTATCATGTAAAATCCATCCAACTTCGATCATAAGTGGTTACCGGCTAGCATGTAAGGAAGCATGCAAATTCATCCAAGACGTTATGAGCATTGATAGTGATACTCTTGGACAAGAATGTGTTGTTAATGCCGTTAAAACTTCTCTTTCTTCTAAATTAATTGGCCAGTAGGTTTTTTCATATAATTTACTCAATGATTTCTATTTATTTTAACACACTTCGTTCTCGATTTTCAGAGACTCTGATTTTTTCGCCGCTCTCGTTGTGGATGCTGCAAATACGGTTAAATTCACCAAAACTGATGACGCGAAATCTGTAATCTATCCAATTAAGAACATTAGGATACTCAAAGCTCAGGGAAAGAGTACCAGGGATAGCGTGAACGTTCATGGTTACGCCCTCAATTGTTCCCTGGCTAATCAAGGTGTGTACTGTCTCTTTAAATATGTTACCTGATGTTCAAATTAGATAGCTCCTTAATCAATTTTCATTATTCCTATTTTTAGCTATGCCTAAGATCATTAAAACTGCTAAAATAGCATGTTTGGACTTTTCTCTCCAAAAGGTGAAGATGAAGCTTGGAGTACAAGTTTTGATTAACGAACCAGCTGAATTAGAAGCTATAAGAAAAAGGTAGATATTTTCCCAAAGCAATTAACTTCGTTTTGATAAAATCAATCATTAATAACCTATTATGTTTTTGTAGAGAATGTGATATTGCCAAAGAACGCATGCAAAAAATTATTGCCGCTGGTGCTAATGTTATTCTTACAACTGGTGGAATTGATGAGATGTGTGCTAAGTATCTTGTCGAAGCTGGTGCAATGGGAGTAAGACGCGTCAGAAAAGTTGATCTGAAAAAAATTGCAAAAGCATCAGGAGCTACCATGATCTCTACCATGGCGAATATGGATGGCGATGAAGCTTTCGAAACTTCGAATTTAGGTGAAGCTGAAGAGGTTGTAGTTGAACGAATTTCTGACGATGAAGTAATTCTTATAAAAGGGTAAGATTTAGTTTAATGATGCGTTTTACTTTTTTATTTATTCATAATAATTTACTCATTTGTTTTAAAATACTTTTCTTTATAGAATGAAAAATCATAATGCAAGCTCCATCATTTTACGGGGACCAAATGAATATTTCTTGGATGAAGTTGAAAGATCCTTAACTGATGCATTAAATGTTGTTAAAAGAGTTATGGAATCCAAAAGAGTTGTACCCGGTGGAGGGGCTGTCGAAGCGGCTCTCTCAATTTACTTAGAAAGCTTTGCTACTTCAATTAGCTCTAGGGAACAATTAGCTATCGCTGAGTTCGCACGAGCAATGCTCGTTATTCCAAAAACTTTGGCTGTTAATGCTGCTAAAGATGCTACTGATTTGATTGCTAAGCTTCGAGCTTACCACAACTCTTACCAAAGTAAACCAGAGAACAGTACCTATAAATGGTATGGCCTTGATCTTACTGAAGGAACCGTTCGAGATAGTGTAGCTGCCGGTGTTTTAGAACCAGCAATCTCTAAAATAAAGTCACTTAAATTTGCTACGGAGGCTGCAATTACTATTCTGCGTATTGATGATTTGATCAAACTCGATAAAGAAAAGACAGACAAAGATTATGGTGGGTGCTATGGTGATGAATAATCTTGCATGATAAAACGGCTTAAACTAAGGAAAACTGAAAAATGCCTAAATCTTCAGCTTATTAACAATTTCCTTTTATCAAAAGGTAAAATCGAGATGATAACCTGATGAAACATGAGTACTTCTTATGTTTCCAAACGAATAACTTAACAAATATCTCATTGTATTTCAGTCAAACTTTTTACTAAAATTAACTGATTAAATTTTTCAATTAATGATACATAAAGGAAAATCGTTTTGCACACATTTTATGCCACATGTTTGCTGCAAGTATTAAATTTCAGCCATTTCTTCAGATATGAAGCTTGCTATACTCAACGTTTATTTTTTATGAAGCTAATTATTTATCGCTAAATGAATTCGATAGTGTTATTAATTACCTTAGAGTTAGAGGGAGGTCTAGGAAACTTGATCACTCTAGTCTCAGCATATATTTTATCTTGTATTGATTTAAATTAAAAAAATCAAAGTCTTTTAGTCTGTTCAATAACTTTTATTTAATAATTCAGTTTCTATTTATTATCCACTTGATAATGACAGATTGAGTTTATCGATTGTTTTAAAGTTGAATTCATTTTCATCTCCATCACTGTCTTTTTCCGCATCTGCTCTAGCATCTTATGTAGTTTTAGTTGAAAGTAGAAATAAGTTTTCAATATAATCTTTTTCTGGATCTAATTGCTTCCGATCCCATTCATCTTAATTAAATAATAAAATTCAGCAATCTTGAGACAATAATTATTTTGTCATTGATTTACAGGTTTGCACCAAACCAGTCCATAATAGCCAACTATAATATCAAATTGAAAAAACATGTTACTTGATGGGGTCTTTAATCAATGGACATTCCTTTTTGATTGTCTAAAAAATAGAAAAAAATTAATGTCAATCACATAGTCATTTGATATCCCGATAACCAGTGTAGTTTACGTTCACCATGCTCACCTCACACAAAATATTCCGATAATCTTGTCCGTATTTTTTAGTCGGCAGAGTCACGTTGCTTCGTCTTAAAACATGAATCAATTCATCTTCTGTGAATATCTCAATTGGGTCTATTCCATGTTCAAAGATAAGTCCTCCAAGATATTCAATGTAATGTTGTCTTCAAAGTAAAAATTTAAATGTTAACTAATCACATTTGGATAGCATAAGATCGGAATCAAAAACTTACTTGCATACTCCCGCAGTTTCAAGATTACTGCCGCAAGGCATGTCTTTTAACCCTTCAGGATACTCTTTTTGCTCCATTATCATGCAAACCCGAGATTCATTTGTTGATTGTTTATCCTCATTATATTTGTATTCAACGTTATTCATCTATAAGAGAAAAAAGACAAATATTTGAACTATGGTTGGGTCTATGAACTACAAAAGCACAGGAAAATGTCCAAAATCAAACTATTCAAAGGGTCAAAACATTATAAAGTCAATCAAGGAAAACTCTGTTACTTACATCTAATAATTTACGTAATTCGTCAACTTCTTTATCTCGTAAATAAAATAGACAGTTACGAGGATGATGTGCATGTAAACCGAGTTTATCACACCAGTTAGAAACTGAACATTTCTATAAGAAAAATGAAACGCATTAACAATTCTCAGCATTTAAAAATGGATTCATGAGTAGAAGAAACTTACTGATCCTAATCTAAAAGGCTGCCTACATCCACCACAAAAATCATGGGAACATTGGATGCAATGGAAATGCATACAGCCACCTTTAGATAGTTCATAGTGGAAATGGCAATTGGGACAATCTATGCCAAATTGTTTCAAATGAAGATCCAACTGGTTTTCTGAATATTCAGGATCATTCAGGCGTTTCCATTCAGTAAACTGTTCACAGGTAATTCCATTGTGTTGCTCTTCCCAAACCTAATTTTTCAAAAGAGAGCGGAAATTCAGTAAATTGAGATTTACAATGTAATGTATTATATTATTATTATAATAACAAATCAACATAATATAGATCAAAGGTTTGAATACAATTTTCACCTTATGACAAGAGGCACAAGTAACTATTTGACAATCAGGACATGTAATTGTTTTAGCAGCAGGATTGGAGGCAATAAAACCAGATGAACAATTGGTACACCAGCTAAATGATGGATCTTTTGATAAAACTTTATCACGAACCTTGCGTTGCCAGAGCTCATGAAGATCAGCTGTAACCAATGATTTAACCAATTGATCAAGAAGCGATAAATAATCGCAGACTGAGTCTTCATCGTCAGGAGACATACTGGGCTCCGAGCAGAAAGGGCATGTTATAATAAATACTTGAGCTTCACGAATTTGAACCGCAAAATATTGTCTTAAACAGTTGATACAAGCTTTGTGAGTACATGAAATAAGTGAAACCATATCACGAATATGAAATGATCCAGCACATAATTCGCACTCATAGGCTGACCGAGCATAACCAAAATGTGGGTTAAGCGATTCCTTGTCGATAACTGGTAAACTTGTAATTGGAATCGCTGGAATTAAAGTTTGCTGGCCTTTACCGTTATCACTGCTGTCTTTGCTTAACGATGTTGATGTCGCACTTGGATTCAGATCCTGCAGCTGCTTATCTTTTTCTTTGTTTCGATTGGCTAACTCTTTAGTTACTTTTTTTTATTTAAACCCTTTTTAAGCTTTTCTTTCAACTTGTTTGATGTTTTTGTTTCTTGTGATGGTCCTGGTTCATTTATTGTAGTTAGTTGATTCTCATCTATTAATTGGTTTGATGTATTAGGATCAGTTTGAAGCGAGGTTCGATAAAGTGTTTCTAAACATTCAACCGATGATTTAAGTGTCTCTTCCAAGTCAATGGTTAATGGAGAAATTGAACGTTCTTTTGTTACAGGTTGTCGTGGAAGTGCCAGCTGATCAATTACTTCGTTATCTTTGTCTTGGTCACTTGATTGCTCGCTTGATTGTTCACTCCATTTGTCTGAATCGTTTGAACTAAAGTCGTCTTTATTGAGGATCTCAAATTCTTGACCAAACTCATTGTCTTTATCCTTATTTCCATCCTCTTTATCATCTTCTTTATCCTCGTCCGAGTCATCAATATATTCATCAATACTGTTTAAGCCTAATTGCGTTAACCTTTGCTCTAAACTTCTCCTTAAATTTTCATAATCTTCCATCTCTGTTTCATCTTCGTCAACGTTTTTATCATTATCATTGTCCTCATCACCTTCAAAGGAATCTGATCGTAACCTGACGAGCTCCTCATTATCTACATCTTCATCTACTTCGTCTTCATCTTCCTCTTCCTCGTATTCATCGTGTTCTTCAACCTCGTTTACCTCGTCAGCTTCTAATTCTTGCTCATCTTTTGCTTCCGTTCCTTGAGTTTCAATCTCTTCAGTTTCATCAAAAGCATCAAAATTCCTGACTTCAACATTTAATAATCGACCATCAGTATCAGAATCATTTTCTTCTGAAACTTCAGAAAAATATTCTCCAGACGATGAAGAAGATCTTGAGATTGATATTTCATCTTGTTTTGAATCTTTCTCATTGAATGTTGGGCTTTTTGCCTTCAAGTTTTGACTCGCCTCGTTGGAAGAAAGTAAGTTAATTGGAACTGCATCCATATTTGATTTACCAGAACCAGATTCTTCAATATCAAGACTGAATGATTTAATGTCTTTTTTGTCAACTGTTTTATCATCTTCCTTTTTTTGGACACATTTATCAATTGCTTGCCAAATATTACCTTTGGTTGATCGGAGAGCTGATTTGGCATCTTTAGTGGTTACTAAATCAATGGCTGTTAATTTATATTTTTTACCAAGTCTTTTCTTCTCATTTTGCACCAGCTGATTATTTGACAAAGTTAAGACAGTTTCAACCATATTGTTCCAATTCTCGTCCAACCAGTCTAAAGGTGAAGTTGAATTAAATGTCAATGCTATCTCAATGTCATCTGCTGTGAAACCTTTTTTCTCAGCATCACGAAGTAACTTAAACATTTGGAAGCCAGACTGAAGCTGAGATTGAGCCGACGAGACTGTAGCTACTCCTTGAGTACCCATTGAAGGTAACCCTTGATTAGAACGATTATCAATTGATAAATTTTCCTTGCTCATGTATTTAGAATTGAATCCACCCAGTTGTCCCATATTATGCAAAGCATTTTGATCGGATCGGAAAGAGAATGAATTTGAATCTAGAATCATATGAGGACTTGATTGATTTAGAGGTAAATTGTTCATTGGGTAATTGTACATAGACGATCCTGGAGGTTGATAATTTGACGCATAAATAGCTAAAGGATTATTAATGATATCCGTCGGTGGTGAATTCAGTCCCACATAACTGTTGGATCTTAATCTATTAACATCATAATTTGGAAAAGCTGTACCAGAGTTTATTGGAGTTAACTGTTGTCCCATCATCGGATATTGATTTGTGAACGGAGGATACATTTGCTGACCTGATTGTTGATAAATTGTAGGTAGAGACATCGGAATTTGTGAACTAGGTACCAATTGTGTACTTTGACTTGCTGGTTGATTCACCATTTGCGGTGAATTATTTGTTGGGATAGTTGTATCGCTAGCTTTTTCATCAACTGTTGTTTTTGATTCGTTATTTTGGGCTGATGTAGTTTCAGTCTTGATCTCACTTGATTCATTATTGTTGGATTTAGTGATTTTTTCTGTCTCTTGATTACTACTTGCACCAATATTACTTGCAGTTGAAGGTTGTACTTTCGGTTTTTCATTTGCGTCTTTTAGACTGACTTGTGGATTAGATTTTGTATTGTCATCAGTCTTTTTAGGTTCATTTGTTTTGTTTTCATCTAAAGAAATATCTTTGTTACCAGTTTCTTTTTTGTTTGAATTTCTAATTGAATCAATTTCTTGTTCTAATTTAGCAAATGTGGCCTCAATATCTTGAAAATTTGTTGGAGAACTGAATGACCTTTCGCCTTCTTTTTTACGATTTTTATCACCTGAACTTATCACAGAGTCAGGCCAATCTAATTCATCCTCGATATTACCAGAAGCTTTGACTTGAGATACATTATTCTTATTGAGATAATGGTCACCTTCATAATGATCATTATTCATTGAACTTGTACTATTCGAGTTTTTGTTTGTTTTGTAACTCACTTTAGAATCGTTCTTAGCCCTTATGGAATCAACTCTTTGAATCGATTCCGTTCTGATTGTTGTTGTTGCTGGTATTACTGATGAGTTTGAAGTTGAAGGAATCAAAGGATTTGATATATTGTTATCACCAACGTCATAATTCTCATCAATTGAAGGTGTTGATAAATATTGATTGCGTTTTTTTTCTTCTTTCTTTTCAAGTCGACGATTTTCCCGTTCAATTCTCTTCTCATTTTCTAATCGACGTCTCAATTCTTTTTCAATCTCCATTTGTTCACGAATCAAATCAGTGGTTATCACCACTTCTGGGCCATTTCTATTGGATTGGTTGGGCTTTGACTCTTTGACTGGTTCTTTGGTTACTTTGGCCTTATTACGCATCTTTTTTAATCTACTTGGATGACTTTTGCCGCACATTTCACATATATCTGAGTTGGGTTTATTCACATAGGTACAAGCATAACAATGCCACCATTTATTTGGCTCCAATGATGAAGCTTGACTATATCGATCATCTTCGTCTTCGTCTTCATCTTCATTATCTTCCTCTTCGTCCGATTGACATGCATAATCACCTTCATCATCATCAGTGTTGTCGGCGTGTTTCCTTCTCATCTGGTTTCCATCATCTTCCTCGTCTGATTCACTTGCTCTCATTGAATATCGAGATGATGTGAGTGATCGTGGAATCGAAGTTGATCTTTGATCAAAAGATTTATTCCGAGATTGAGAAGAATGGTGTTGATGGTGAGAAGAAGAGGAAGATTTTCTCCCCATAGCGGGTGAAGTTTCACGAGCAACTGATGACCGAACTGATTGCTCTCTACTGGAAACACTTCGAGTTTTACGATTCATGTTAAGTGATCTTAGTGACGGTGAAGGTGAAGCACGAGCATTGTTGTATGGCGATGATGGAGGCAATGGAGGGTGATGAGTCCCTGGCATCATTGGATAACCTGGATACATTGGATAAACTGGATTCATCCAATAAGGTTGAACCATTTGTTGCTGTTTCTGTTGCCATTGATTGTTAACCAAAAATGAACTTTGAGATCTTTTCATTGATCCATTTCTTCTACTCATCATAGAAGATAAATGACTTTTGTTCCTTGTTAATGTACCATGGTCTGGAAAATCTGCATCAGATACTTGATCTTCACCATCATCAAGACCCAAATCTTCCATACTCTGGGCTAATGAGACTGATGTCATATTATATGGACCGGGGTGATGAGGATGGTAAGGTGTTGGACTATAACTCATTGGATAATTAGGAGGAAGAGAAGGGTTCATCATTTGTCCTGGCATCATGTGCATTGGTGACCCAGCTCCAGCATAATAACCATTTGGATTTGGATTCATATACGAACTAGTTAAATCCATGAGACTTAAATTTTTTCTTGGCAAAGATTGAGACCATTTCTTCTTTATCGGAAGCGCTGGAGGAACATTTCCTGATGATCCAACTTCACTCGACCATTGTTCACTTGATAAACTACTACTATTAGCACTGGACAAATTTGAACTTCCTGCGCCATTGTTCAAGCTTTCTCTTTGATATTCTTCCTCAAATGGTCGAAGATAGTTGTAATTAAGTCGCATTTGTTGTTGCTGTTGTTGCTCATTGAAATAACGTCCTGATTGGTTTATTTGATCAACTGATTGACTGTTGGATCCAGGTTGATATTGGATTAATCGTGTCTGGCCAAATTGAGGCAAAAATGGTCGATTTTGATCCTAATTACAGAAAATAATTAAACTAATTTTGAGCTTAATACCAATCAACTTGATACTAACCTCGAGTAACTTCTTTTTCCTTCTAGGAGGTGGAATCGGCATTTTTGATGGATGATGTGGAGTCGCTGTAGCCTGGAATTGTGTTGATTTGATTGCTGTTGATTTCATCTCGGAATGATTATTTGATGACGACAGTGAAGATAATGATGGTGAAGGAGAGGGTGAAAGAGTTGCTTGTAAAGGACGAAGGACTGAAGTCGACACATTATCACATCGTTGTGACATCTAATGGACACAACAAAATGGAAAAATCCAAAATTATAATTTTGTGAATGTGTTTAGGAAAACTGTGAAAATTTAAATACCCACCGGATTAACTGGATTAATTGCTTTTCTCAGATGGAATCGACGTTTAGGATGACGATGGTACATATCATCACATGACATGCAAAAAGTCTTACAATCACATCTATCACATTTAACTGAACTTCCCAAAGTTCCACATAAATTACAATTACCTTGACTAGTTTGGTTCATTGTTATCCCTTGCATTGGCGGTCCTAACAAATCAAGAAAATTTATCAGCCAAAATTGAAACACTCAAGAGAAACACTTACCAATAATTTTCATCGGCGACTCCTTTATCCTGCTTTGATACATGGTTAACTCTGAATTAGTTAAAATATAACTTTATTCCGTACAAGACGAGCTTTTTGACTTGGACCAATCTTATTGTAAACCTTTATGCACACGAACAAGTAGGAAGTTGTAAAAAATGTTAAAGTCAAGATGAGGATAAATGAAGATGAAAATTGTGACTACAAAAAGACTATGGGTTTGGCGTAGGAAGTTATTCTTGTTGCAGGTTTAGATGAAAAATTTTTGGCAGCCAAATGAATTTGCTTTTCATGTAGATCATTTGCATCTAAATTAAACCTTTGTAAAGGTTTTCAGGTCAACATTTGTAAGAAAAACTGAGAAATACTATTGACTCGTCAGACAGATCTACAAAAATTAGGTGAATATCCTCTTTTTATCGTCATCTTTGTCGCTTTAATCTTGGTAATCTTTTTTATAAGCTTGGATTAAAATTTCTCTTATATTATTTCGATGGGTTTGTGTTAAATTAAAAAGTCAATAAAGATAATCCAATTGAACTTGAGGATTCTGAAATTGCTTTTAATGGTGTCTCTTAAACTACACATTGTACAGTCTGTGTAACCCTTAACATCAATTTTTTTCATAGCTTTCCAAATAATTATATAATGGCACTCAGAAGTTTTATACAAAAAATAAGTGAATATGAGTTTAATGAAAATGTTGATATGATGATATGATGATGATATGATGAGATTTCTTTTAATACAATAAGTAGAGTAATAGAGTAATAACGTAAAGAGTAGAGTTGAGTAAGTAGAGTAGAGATGGCAGAAAAAGATCGATCGGTCTTTTAGAGCAAGCCGAGCTTAAATCGAGCTATTAAACTTACGACCTGATTGAGTTCGACCTTTTAAAATTATAGCACTCGAGAAAGATCAAATGGCCTAAGAAGTACAAACTCGTAAATTTATATATTTTTGATGATTTTGGTCTTGACTCAAATATTTTAGTCAATAGTTGCACGGAAAATTAAAACATTGAATCATTCTTCTTAGCCACAACCGATCTTGTAAATTTTTTCGATCCGAAGATCGAGCTGGGAAATCGCTGATTCTGCCATCTCTAAAGTAAAGTAGAGTAGAGAAGTCACAATTAACTATACACATATAATACTATATTAGTGTCGTGGACGAATCTTTTCCAAGAAAAATTGTCGTCCAGTGAATGTAAAAGAAGATTCTTTAGTTCGGAAAGTCCGTTGCTTGATAAAGTCGAATTGTTGGAGAGCAAATGAGTAGAAATCATTCTCCATTTGCCAAACCTTGGATTGACGGATAATTTCAACTGTTTCTGTTGATGGTTCAATTTTATTGATGGTTCGACGAAGGTGAGATTTATTGCCATTCTCGTAAAGATGCAAGGCGCCTTTGAAAAAGGTTGGTAGAGTATACTCAAGTACTGCGAGAAACATATGCATTTGCTCAGTAACACCAACAACCATGAAATGTTGCATTAAATTGCGTTTAGCTTCCTCCAGAGCCCATTTACTTCCAGGAGACAAGCATTCAAATGAGTGACCACAAAAAAATGGTATCTGAATCCACATATTATTTGGATCACAGTCCTTTTCTTGTCTCTCCACACATTGGTCAAAGGTAACTTTGTTTCCTTGCCTTTTGCGAACCAAGTAAGGCCTAAAATCGTCACCATTTCGGAGGAAATAATAATAGGATACCAAACGTTCCAATGGTTCACGAACCATACTTATATATATGGGTTTATCTGCAACTCCAAATCGACCAAAGTCAAGAAAAGACAAATGGCCATGGACAATCATAGGCCTTCTCTCTTTCCATTGGGTTAAATTTTGGACAAAGTAAGCTTGATCGGGTAACGAAAGGACGTGACTGTTTTTAGTTGTATTCAGATGAATTACATTGAATTTGTTTGGACCACAGAGATCGTAAGCAATGCCCATCAGACTTGTGCTGCCAGTTTTTGGAACACGGTTATAGATAACTATTCGGTCTTCATCTGCGTTTTGATTATATACTGGTGGATTGTTTTGAGATGATATGGGTCCTGAGACGGTTGGATATGACGAAGATGATGTTAATGATAGAGGTAAGGCTTCATCGAGTGTTTGTCGATTGACGTAAGAGGTGAAAAAAGCTTTTCTCTCCAAAGTTGAGATTCTTTCTTCCAGATTCTCAATGAAGTAAATTAAGACGAGGGTAAGAATACCAATCAACAAAAATAAGTAACGAAAGTGAGGAATAGGTGCCATCATTTAAACGATGGAAAACAATTTGATGAAATTAACATTAAAAATTTGAACAAACATATAACATTAATAATGGACAAGGAGATGAATGCATTAAGTAATATTACACAGGAGAAAGGTCATCAATGGAACATTTACCCTGTTCAAGTCTATTTTGAAAATTGACTTGAACATCTTCAATTGAGTTTAACTGAGCTTAAGTAACAATAATGATAAATCATTAGTTTAGGATGAGTTTCGGTCACATAAATAATCAACATAATAAATTAACATTAATTAGTAATTTTTCGATAATTGAAGGAATGTTCATTTTCTTTTTCTAGGAAAATGAGTTTTTGTTGCTTGAATTGATGTAAACATTCATGCTTATCATGACACGATGTATCGAGTATCGATTTTCAACTGACAATTTGCATATACTTTTGGAACTAATTTATATTGGTTAACTCAAGGTCTTATTAATTAGGAAATTAAATTGTTTTAATAGGGGCATTGACTTCAGCTTTAAACAGTATGAATTAATGTAAAAAAGTTAGCACTATATTTGAAATGATCTACAAAACTGACATTCAAAATCTTTGAAAATGTTGACACTTGTGAGTGCAATTCATTCACTGAATTACTTCTCACAATAGTTAGATTTGATTGGTAAAAAAATTGTGGAACATTCCGAGTGTTTAATTTAGAAATTTTATTATTTTCAGAGACTTAGTTCAAAAATCAAAAATTAATGAGTGATAAGATATTGTTACATTCAAATTTTACACTTTTATTCTTGAAAAATGCCCAATGGCCATTTTAAAGGATAGTTATATGAAAATCATTTCTTCGTTAAAGATGTTCTGAAAAGAGATAGAGACAGAAAAATTATTGTGTTAAAAAATGCAAATATAGATAAATATAGTTGGCAAAAAGATGAATTACTTACGATGCTCCACTCAGTACTACATAAGGAGTATGTAATTCTTTCTGTTTATCTTGTAACAATTTCAAGGTTCCTAAAGGTGTATCGGTTGAGTGCATCTGGCGTAATTTCTTCAAATGAAATAAAAAAGATAATTAATAGTCTGTCAATTGCTTTGAATCATAAATATTTGAGAAATACTTACCCCTTCTTGGTCTAGTTTTTTCATTCTCTTGTCAATCTTATTTTTACCAGGACCTTTACCATGGAATTTGTGGGAAAGTACTCTGAAAGCTTCCTTTTGATTTAATAGTCGACCCTTTTCATCAACGTAATCTAATTTAACATCAGGCTTGTAACTATCTTTTTCCTTGAAGTCAGATAGTGGTCCATTATATCTATCTCCTCGACGGCCTAATTTTTCTTCGTCATAAAATTTTTCTTCTATGGTATAATTTTGAGCTTGAAGACTTGAGTGCCTAGAACCAGAAGTTGGTTTACGTGGTTCTTTATCAAGATAACCTTTTTTCATGGCAACTTTAAGTGCAGCGGCCACTCCGTGACTAACATCGGGCTCTTCCTCTAAAATTGGTTGAGATGGATCAGCTATCTCCACAGAATCAAAGGATGCCACAGAAGCTTCCATATCAACTTCATTCCATGTTCCTCTGATAGGTTGTTCTGGGGATTTTTCCTCGAGAATTTCATTAGATCTCTTATCATCTAACAAATCTTTCTCGAAGTCCATAAGTTCGTCTTCATCCTCGTATTCTTCCTTAATAGTTGAAATATCACCTAAATTACGACAAAACTCTGCTGTAGCATTCAACACAATTGTTGATCGACCTTGCGAAGTACTAGCGATGTCCGAGTAATCATCTTCTTGTTCTTTCTTTATGGAAGCTTCACGCTCAGCAATAAGTTTAGCAATTCTTTCCTCTTCTTCCTTCTTCTCCTTTTCTTTCTCTTTCAACTTTTTAGCCTTTTCCAGTGATTTACGGAATTCTTCTTCAGCTTCTTGTTCTTCCAGAACAATTTCGGATAGATCAATATCCGGTATTTCAGAGTCTGATTGAAGCAAATCATCATCCATTTGGACCTTAATTCGTTTTTCAATCAGTTTTTTATCTACAGATGAACTTGTTGAAGGTACTTCTTCTACATTTTGCGAGTTTCTATTCTTTCTAGAACCATGATCAGAATTTGTACTTTCAACAATTACCTCCTCAGAAAATCTTTTCCCCTTTTTCTTGGCACGAATTTTCTTTGGTTTTTTAAATTTTGTCATTTCCTCTTCGGTGTAATATTCTGAGGCTACTTTAAACTGTGGTGTTTCCAATGATATTTTTCCAGCTTGTTGTCTCAACATTTCTCGAATTAATTCAGCTTCCTTCTCTCGATCAACAGAAGAAGAACCAATTTGGAAAGAATCCTTTTTCATCCCATCAATCTCTTCATCATATTTAGCTAGTAAATTTTTCTTCTTAAGAATACCAAATTCATCAAACTCTGGTTCATCGTATGGGCGATATTCATTTTTCTTCAATTTGTTGTCCATATTTTTCTCAGCTTTCTCGAGATCAACGATATTTACATTCTCCAGAACATCTTCGTTTTCATCCAAAACGTCTTTGTCCTTAAGAGTCATTATTATTTGATGGCCTTCTTTGAGATATTTCTCAGAGTGGGCAACTTTGAGTCCTTTTAAATCTTCTTCTGTGTAAAGCTGATTGATATTTGATTTGCTAGGTCCAGCAACTTGGCTAACAATTTCATCGTCCATTTCATCTAATATTCGGGCTTTCCGTTCAGCTTTCATTTTTTCAATCTTGCGTCTTTCTTCTTCTATTTTTCTACTTTTTAAAACCCAATTGGCAGCATCCTCATCTGGAAGTAAATCAGCAAGGCCTTTAGGTTCAGATTTCTGAGACTCTTCTTTGACTTTAGGAGATTCTCTACGTTGGTCACTTTTCCTACTAATATATTCTTCATCCTTTTCCTCCTTTGGTCGTACTTTAGATTTTTTATTATCGTCTTTCCTATCTGGACTTTCTTCATCAGGCGAATAGTGACGTTTTCTTGATAAACTTTCAGTCTTTCTACTACTCACTGATAACTTATCCCTGGACCTATCATGATGTCTATGTGAATCATTTGAATGGTGATGAGTATGATCGTGATGGTGATGGTCGTGCTCTTCGTGATCATTATGACTGCGGTAATGTTTATGCTTTTTAGAACGATCCGGCGATTTGCGGCTCTTGCTAGATTTGCTAGACCTGGTTGGACTTCTGTGAGATGGCATGGTCAAGGTGTTTTAAGGAGCAATATATAGACACAGTTCATATAAACAAATATACAAATAAAGATGAAGTTGGTACTTAAATAATAAACACATTATACAGAACACATAATTAATAGTAATTTAACACTGCAGTTTCAATCATTGACAACAAAATCAGAAAAACATGTAACCAAGAGACAACAACTCTCATATCTGGCGCGCAAATCAAATCTCACCACATGTAGCCAACAAATCAACCACTATAAATGTTGCAACCTTCAAGTATCATTTGATTATTTTCTTTTCTGTCATTTTGTTAATTTTTCTATCAACTTCATCATTTCACCATGTCTATTAATGTGTCAACAGAGTATATGGAAATCGAGGAGGACTCAGCAAGTCGGAGATTGGTCCTGGAAGAATTTGAAAGAAGAAAGAAAGGCCGGCAAATACCTGTTAGCGTTGATGATGCGGAAGTTAAATCACAACTTCGACAATTAAACCAACCAATTTGTAAGTTTATCAATATATCAATAATTTTAGGTTTAACGGTGCTATGCTTTATTCTACAGGTATCTTTGGAGAAGGACCGGCAGACAGGAGAGAAAGATTAAGACAGTTGCTGACAAGACTCGGAGAAGATGCGATCAAGAAAACGAAAGATGAGGAAAAAGTAGATGAAAAGGAGCGAGATGTAAGTATTTTGGATTTAATTATTGTATTGTTTAATGACATATTGTTTTTAACATTGTCTGTTTATTTACAGCCAAACACAACTTGGTATCACGAAGGTCCTAATAGCCTGAAGGCAGCTAGAATCTGGTTGGCTGAATATTCCATTGTGAGAGCCCGGGAAAGGCTGGAACGAGCTCGTAAAACAAAATCAATGCCTGAGACCACCAGAAATAACCTTAATCAAGAGCTTTATAAAAAATTACATACTTTCGAGATTGAATGCAGTCAGGTTGGTGACGCAAGACCACTGTCCTTTTGCAGATTCAGTCCTGATTCGATGATGATTGCAACTGCATCCTGGTTTGTTATTTTATATATTGCATTTCTTTTTTGATTATTTTATTCATCTTATCTTTGGTTCACCTGTTGAATAACTGTTTCTTTTTTATTACAGGAGTGGACAATGCAAACTGTGGTCGCGAGTTTCGCTAGATCTCAGGAAAACTTTTCGTGGTCATAATGGGCGAGCTTGCTCGATCGTGTTTCATCCGAAAGCAACAATTTCTCAATCACCAACTGCTCTTAATTTAGCATCAAGTGGCATCGATGGATCTGTGTGTTTATGGAGCATGGAGAATGAATTTAGTCTTAGAAACTTGGATGGACACCAACCTCATCGCGTAAGTCGAGTATCTTTCCATCCCTCAGGCCGTTTTTTGGGAACCTGTTGTGATGACAGATCTTGGCGACTCTGGGATCTGGAAGTCAATGAGGAGATTCTTTTTCAAGAAGGCCATAGTAAAGGTGTTTATGACATTGATTTTCACCCTGATGGATCGTTAGCTGCAACTGGTGGTTTAGATGCTTTTGGCAGAGTTTGGGATCTGAGAACAGGTCGTTGCATAATGTTCATGGAAGGACACTTGAAAGGAATAACCAGTGTCTCAATTTCACCAAACGGCTATCAAGTTATAACGGGAAGCATGGACAATACTGTAAAAATTTGGAATCTTAGGCAACGAAGATGCGAATACACAATCGCCGCACACAACAACATCGTGTCTGGAGTCCAATTTGAAAAGGACCAGGGGCGATTCATCGTTAGTTCTAGTTATGATAATAGTATAAAAGTCTGGGCTCATCCTAATTGGACCCGAATCGCTGAATTAAATGGCCACGACAACAAAGTAATGGGTATCGACATCGCCGCCGACAATCACAGCATACTTTCGTGCTCATTCGATCGAACGTTCAAACTTTGGAGTCAATCCTGGCAGCCCAAATCATCAACACAAAACAAAGACAATTAAAATCATCTAAACATTACATATAAGCATGATAAATATATCAGCAACCATCAATTTTTTAATTTTTTATAATACTCACAACTGTCAGCATATGAAATAAAAATGAAATCAATTGCATCTAAATTGTTTTCCCTAATATGACCTAATTAATCGGGGAAAAACATGGAAATTCAAATGAAAAGGTTATCCGCATTTGGCGCCAGTTATATAACCGAGTAGTTGAAAAGATTTCCGTTTTCACAGGTAACTCGTGCGGATGCGGGAATAGCGTGAGATGAGGGAGAAAATTTTGCTTTGAATCTCAAAATTCTTGTGAACGCAATAATTGTATACAAACAGTTATTCTGCATCTGTCAATTTGTTGTTTTTTAATTATTTTATTATTAAAAACGTATACGGTTCTTTTTTTTAAATTGTGAGTTTTCTTTTTAATGTTATTTATTGAATTATTTAATCTGTGAAGGAAAATCAAAACAATGATTCGAGATAATGTTAATATTCCTGTGGAAAAGATGAACTTATCCTTTGCTGGCTGTGGTTTTTTAGGAATCTATCATGTTGGTGTAGCCTCTTGTTTTCGTGAATATCTTCCTGAAATTGTTCGGAATAAATTTTCAGGGGCATCTGTTGGAGCTCTTGTGGCTACTGCTATGGCCCTTGACTGTTCTTTAGGTAATTATAGATCTAATTTATACTGAAAATGTTTACCTGAAACAAATCTAATCTGTTTACTGCGTCAGTATTCACTGGTGGTTAAATGATTGTATTTTTACAATTTTGTGATTCTGATTTGTCAATAAGTTAGTTAAGGTTGCCCTTTTTTATGCTATATTGAACCTTAGTGCATTACCCTCCATTTTATCTGACATTAACTCTTAAGGTGGCCCTCATTTTAAAGTGTTGCTGCAATATTTGAGATTACAAAATAACTTTGAATTATCTGATCTTTTTTCTGGAAATTAATGTGTTCTTTTCTTTTATCTTTACAGCTGAAAGTACTAGTGATTTATTAAAAGTGGCAATTAAAGCAAGGTCTCGAGCTTTAGGACCCTTTCATCCTACCTTTGACGTAACTAAAATTTTATATGATGCGTTGGTTAAGGCATTACCTCATGATGCTCATAAAAAAGTTTCTGGTCGATTATTTATTAGTGTTACCCGAGTCAGTGATGGTAAAAATAAGATAATCTCTCATTTTGACTCAAAAGATGATCTTATTCAGGTATGTATTGCAAATAATTTTTGGGAATCCCTTCTTAGTCATATGCTATACCTTTGTGTTTTGGTTATCTTATTCTTTCATAATAAATCAGTGCTATCTCTTAGTTACCTTATTGCGCTTGTTGAAAAACAGATGATTAAGAGATATAACCCTTTTTAATATACAATTACAAATGTAAGTGAAGGTTATTATAGTGTATTAGCAAGCTCAGCAAATCAAGGCTATGAGCAATAGCATGTGACAATGAAAGTGAGATTGTTTGCTTTCAATCTCCTTATCTCTTTCGGCTACATCTTTCAGCACGATAAGAAAACTAACGAAGGTGATTTGAGACCTTGAAAGCCTAACTCTTAAACTTATACTTTTTTATCGACAACACTTACAATAACTAATTGTTTGTAACTGTTTTATCATTTTCATTGATTCAGGCAATCCAATGTAGCTGTTTTATTCCCTGTTGGTCAGGAGTTTTACCACCCAAATTTCATGGAGTTGCTTACATGGATGGCGGTTTCTCTGACAATTTACCTATTTTAAACGACTACACCGTTACGGTGGCTCCATTTGCTGGGGAGAGTGACATTTGTCCGCAAGAGAATACTTTCAACTACATGCAAATCCAACTGAGTAATACTAGTTTTTCAATCAGTCCAGGTAATTTGTACAGGATAACAAGAATCTTATTTCCACCACACCCTGAGGAAATGTCAAAAATGTGTCTTCAAGGATTCAATGATGCTCTCAAATTTCTCCAACGCACGAATAAAATCTCATGTCTTCGGTGTGTTGCGATCCAATCCAGTTTTCTCTTGGCTGAATCAAATGAATCTGAACCCGATGAGTTGATTGACACTGTAGTTGTAGAAGAAGATGAAGAAGATGAAGAGATGGAAGAAGAAGCTAAGGAAGAACCACCAATGCAACAAAAAGAGACTCTAAATGAAGAAGTCAATCAATCAAACGATAGATATGAAACTGATTTAATTTATGATGATTCAAGTGAATGTACAAGTTGTCGCGAAATGATTGACCTTCATTCATTACCTGATCCTGTTGCCAAAGCAATTCAAGAAGCCATTGATTCAGTCAATAAGGGATTAATCAATTGGATTTATAAACACCGTCCTGTTCGAGTTTTATCACTTTTAACTATACCTTTTACTCTTCCTTTTGATCTTGCCCTGATCTTTGCCATTAAAAGCCTAAGAATGATTCCTGTTGTAACTAATGAATTTAAAACAAGTCTATTCAATATAATTGCTTTCCTTTTGAAAAAGGATAAATTTGGCAAGAAAAAAGCAACCACAAGATTCTCTTGTCAACTTGCAATCACAGAATTCGGCGGTAAACCAATCTCTTCAGACTCAGGACCTTCACCAGCAAAAATTTCCAAACCATGTAAACGGAAAGAAAGTGTTTTTAATATTGAATCACCTTATACTCGTAGAAAAATATCAACTCATGATAATTCAAGGTTATCACCATCAAACTCAAGGCTGGAAAAGTCTGAAACTCTGTTAAGTGCATCATCAACATCTGACTTAAGGTAAACTTCGTTAAATTCATTTTCATTTACATATTATTTATTATTATGTTGCCTAACCAGAAAGTTGATAAACAACTTCAGAGCTAATCAGATTATGTTAGATAAAAAAATAATGGTATTGAGGATAACTATTATAAAACTTACCCATTGACTCTGTTTTGTTTTAACAATTGTTTCAGTAAACACTTTTCAGATTTCCCTGGTTAGATATTCAATCAATACCTAGTTGTTTTTTGATAACAAGCAAGTATTAATAGTTATTGATCTAAGTATTAATAGTCATCTGATGATCCGTATTAGTGTTGATTTTATCATTTACTCACATTCATATTTATAAAAAAAATGTAATATTGACACAAATCAGCTCATATCACCTCATGTTTTTTTGTCACAATCAACATAAAATGACGAAAAAATGTGACGTAATAGATAAATTATTAGATTGTATTTTACTACTTATTAATATTTGCTTGTTAAGTAGCTATGAGCTTATTAGGCACATTTATCACATGCAATCTGTGATTCTCTACTTTGATCAAACCTTTACAAATTGTGTCAAAAAAAAGTTAATCAGCATGATTCAATATCATTAATATCTCATGTTTCATGTTTTATTCATACAATCTGCAGATTTAATCTAATCTTTTTTTTGTTTTTGTCATTTCTTTTCACACTAATCATTTTAGGTCAAGACTAAGAGAAGAAACAAAAGCTAAACGTAATTCGTATGCTGGTAAAGAATTCTCATACTCGACTAGTAATCTTTCTCGAAGTGCTTCCTGCCAACGGGAACGTCGTAAAACGGTTGCTGGATTATTCAACTCAAAATCAAACTCAGCTAATTGTAATTTACACAACCCTCAAAGGATGAATTTTGGTTTCACCGTTGACCTGCCCGTTGATCGATTACCTTCAGGGTCTCGTAAAAATAGTACTCGCCGAAGGTGCACCGGTGTGGAAATGGATGAAAGCTATGAAGCTTCAACTACAAACATTCCCAATAACAATCAAAATAGCCCCAATGATGTTTTACTTACCGTACTACAATCTCTAGGAGACGGAATTGATCCTCAAGAAATTGATCTGGATGCAAAGGAAGTAACCAACAAAGCATTGAGCATCGAAAAGGAATACTTTGAAAGATTTGCAAACAGTGAACTTGGCGGGGTTGCCAAAAATACTGAAGCTTTGGATAAAATAATGGATGTTGCTTCCAATAACCATGCACTTATGGCATTCTATTATTTGGATGAAAAGAAAAGAGTTAAGGTTACCGAGATTTTCAGTATTCCAGATGCATGTGAACGAGATAAAGTAGATGATGATGTTGACGATGGTATCGAGATTGTTGATGATGATTTTCGAACTAGAAATGAAGCAAACACATCACGCTGTTGTGACAATTTTATTGAAAATGATAATCAATCAATTGATGAAAATAACCAATCCGATGAAATCAGCGAATGGGTTCATTTTCATGGTACTGATGTGGACGAACTGTCATCTCTTCAAGTCATGTCCATTCGTAGTCAATCAAGAAATGATTTTACCAGCAACAACTCTAAGTCTAATAATAACAATATGCTAGGCTGATTACAAAATTAAATAACTGGTAAAATTTACAGACGACTGCCAAGCACTCGATGAGCGTAACTACTTTACATGATTATCAGCAAATGATTACATCAACATTTATCCATAAGAGACATATTGTTTTATATCTTGCATTTTAATAGTAAAAAGAGCGCAAATTTATTTTAATTCATGTTACTACCAAAAGAAAATCAATTATGACACTTACAATTTGTATTTATACACTATTTGAACATATATACTTACACATCTACACCACAGGCAAAAAAGTGAAAAGTAAAGACCACCTTGTATACAAATATCCACCAATTCACCAATTCAAAGATTGATTCACCAAAAAAACACTTCTATTACAGTCATTATACGTGTCTACCTAGTAGTATTTAATATACAAAGCTTAATAATCAAAAAAGGTTATAATTCATATTGTGCCTGAAATGCTTAAAATCATTGTACAATTATGAAGCGTAAAATAAAATTGTAAACTTGTTCAAAAGTTAGATCAATTTCCATTGATCCTATTCTTTAATTGAAATGATTATCTTTGTTTACCTCAATATTCCAATTTTACCGTTGGAGTTACATTTTTCCAATTGTAATCAGTAAAGAAAGGTAAGTTGCCAGAAAAATACAATATCAATAATGATCCAAATATGATACTTTTGTCACGAAAATTTTCATTTCTACATTAAAATTGTGTTCTTATTCTTGTCCCTCATTAGTCATGAAAAGTAAAGCTCATCAATTTCCAATTCCATCATGTATACCTGGATACATGAAAATAAAAAGCCAGACCATTTGTTATTTGCCTATTAAAATGAGCAACAAAAAGGTGAGACGGCTCATCTTGAATTTCATTGGATCCTATTGAGACAACCTTTTTAAATTGTAATTGAAAGATAAAATTTAATGTTAATTGTCAAATTTTCGATCAGCTAATAGTTCTGAAAATGCTTTTTAAATACTAACCCGTGTAGAAAGTATCAATTGATTGTACTTATTTGATGTTTATAAATCTTACCGACTCGCTCAACTTAACCAAATCATTTTAAATCTGTGAAAAAATGTTTCCCTATTCAACTGGTCGGCGTCGACAGCAGGATCTTATGCTCACAAATTTAGCCTTTGACCCATTACATGAGTATCCGTAAGTAACTATTTGATTAGCCTGTTAATTGTATCTATTGTTTATTGAGTATTTCAAAAACAATTTTAAACAAAATAATCAACTCATCTCGAAACAAGTTGTGGTCACAATGGAAATGTTGATTTATTCATTTATCAATCTGTATTCAGTTCAAATCTCGATAAGTTGTGAGTTTGCTTACTAAACAATTATGTTAACTAAATTGATGTGAAAAGGCAGTTTAATTGAGGGCTGTTATCCAGCTGAATGTTCATTGGTAAAAATGTTACCTGCATCTCACATTTACCCAATTTAAGTCTTTAGCAACCACAAAAGTTGAAAAGACTCGAGTTTTCATTGATTAACCTAATTAACCAGTGGATGATTTTGTTCATTATCTTAAAATAGCTCTTGATTTGACCTAGCAATCAATTTACAGGCAAAGCACAGAATTAGTTTGCCATGCAATAATTGCCATATTAAACCTTACCATGAGATTACACAAAATGTCCATCAGTTTACGTAACTTACAATGTTTTTAATATTAACTTTCTTTTTTATCGCTTTCATGTTCAGTTCGGTCATTAATTACAATCATTAAGATGTGTGACCAGTTTACACTAAACAGCAATTCTGCCTAAATGTTTAGTATTATCTAGTTATCTCTAGCCAAATGCTGATCAAATGTAAATATTTTTCAGTAGACGATCAAAATTGTCATTGAGAAACCATCGCATGTTGAATTTCCATGTAAAAATCGATACCAGGACTGATCAGCCTGGGAATTTTAGTGACGAATCTAACAAAACCTTGAATTTTGATCCAATAATCTTGATATCCTAAAAAAGTTTCCATGTTTACATTGTTTTTGGAATGAAGCTTAATCTCTTCTTTTCAATTGAACGAATAGTTGAAATATGTGGGAGAAACTGAACAAAATGCCATGAAAAGATACCAAAAATGTGAAACAGTGAAACAAACTTGAGATGCTAATGGACCAATGTCATTATTAGATTGCCATAAAAAACTGAAAGCTGAATAGATTAAAGATGAATTAATATCAAAACAAGTTGTGCATCAAGATAAATATACAGCATCATGTTTAACAAGATTCACTGAAACTCATAATGATAAAGTTAATTAAAATGTAGTTTCGTCTTTTTAAGCATGTAAAGATTGAAGACAGAAAAGATGTATTTTTTTGCAAAAAAAAGGTTTGTTTGGTTAATGAATTTACGGTATTTATGCTCTCATACTTTGAGCAAAAATGTGATTTAACTCGATCAGGAATTTTCGGGTAGACGTGAAATCTAATTGGTCAAAGATTTACAATTGTATCAGGCAGCTGTCACAAAATTCCGGGAATAGAGTCGCATATTTCAAGCAATTTAGTTTGGAGTTTTTCATCATCAAACCTGAAGATGAATGAATATCATCTAAATGTTAACTGATGAGAGTATGCGTTGAGTGTAAATTGCGCGAAATCCCTTCACAATACACTCTTGGTATCATTTTCAATTCTGTAGTTTATCAAGTCAAACAAGGTGAAAAATTAACACTTGAATTTGTTGCGATATCTTATTTGCCTTGTGGATGAACTTTTCTTCCAAATGATTATGAATTGTTCAATCTTTGTCATCATCTTTAGTCCCTGATTTTTTGATAAACGGAGTAACAAGTGTAAAACAAATAACAGCAACAAAGTAATTACAATAAAGTAAATTCTTGATTTCCCAGTTGATCAGTAAAAGGTTAACAACTGGATTTCAAAGTTTTGTTCAATTTACATTTTATGGTACTGTTAAACTGTTGAAGACGTAAAGTTGAACTGTAAATTGATTTAAAAAAAGTGCCAATCATATGAGTCTTTATGTGTCTCCTTATTTGTCAATTATCATTGAATCCTCGTTGAATCTTCATGAATTATTTAGCAATTCAATCAATTGAATAGCATAATTGGATGTCCAAATGTTACAAATCATGATTGAAAGGCAAACCAAGGAAATCAAAGAGAAACCAGACCAATTCACCTTTCCTTATGTCAACTCCTTAATTATCAATCATTTTCAGCCATAATTTTTCACATCCTATTGTCCATCGGCACCATTTAAAGTGTCATTGCTGCTAAAATAATTTGAAACTCTGGAAGACAAGGAAATCTGAAAGAAAAAGCAAAATGAATTGTAAAGTTAGTGAACTCCGACGAGATACTTACCCAGGACCAGGAACAAGCCGTTCTTCCCTTGGATTACCTTTTGATCCTGCTTTATCAGACCTTCAACACAGGCTATCTCGATCAGATGAAAGGTATGTTGACGTTTGTACCACCTTTTTGGTCAACCTTCCAAATTGATTAACCCATAGAGCCATCATAGCCATCATAACCATAAAATCCCATTGAGATAAACCATCCAGAAAAATTGAATCCATTGGATACACATTCATATCTAATTTTGACAATTAACATTGAATAAATCAAGAGATCGAAACACAAGATAATTAAAATGAATACTTTTAAAATTAATTATAAAACTACATAAATTCATGAGATAGAGAATGAAAAACGTTAAAAAATGAAAAAAATTTCCCACTTGAACCAATTAGCTGTTCTGCTAATAATCTTGGTTAACTGCCATCTATTGAAAATGAAAAAAAGCGCTTCCATTATTTTTAAAAAATAAAATTGGTTATTTTTAATTTCATTTCATTAGGTTAATTGATTTTACCGGCTAAAAGTCAACTTAAATTACTGGTTAATGTATCCAATTTCAATGAAAATATTCATTTAACCTGAAGCAAAACTAAACATCATTAAATTTGCTGGGCTACTTTGATCATAGGATAATATTGACCAGCAATTCTTGAAGCTAAATGTCAATAACAATGAAACTTGATGATTAAAAATCTATAAAAACTCAGTGATTCTGTTAAAATCAGATATGAAAGGTGAAAAAATGTATACAATGACAACAAAAGAAGGAATGAAAAATCAATTCTTTTTTTAAACAACAATTAATTTCCCTTACAAATAATTGTAATAACCATTGAGAGTCGTTATTAAACTATACTAGTTCCATCATGATTCACCGAGTTCATTGTAATCAAAATCAATTAGCTATTATAACCTTTCCAAGCTCAAAATCAAATTCATTCAACAAGAATAACCTTTTGCTTTTGTATTCATCACCTTCATCAACCAATCTTGCATCCTATTTGGTCTGTAAATTGTGCCTTTTCATTTTCATTTTGTGAAACATTTTTTGATACAAATCTATTTAACTTCAATGAATTTAGTTCATGACTTCAGTGGCAACAATTCACACAAATAATTGAAATAATTGACAGTTTGAACATATTTTGTTGTTTTTTATTTACATCATTCAAATGTTAATCACTGGTATAGAGGGTAAAAGAAGTGCCAAATTGAACAACAAACAGTCTTTTAATGGATACATTAGACTTTCAATGTTAAATTTTGGTGAAATTTAATTAGCTGATCAAGATTCCATTCACTCTGAAACGATTCTGAACTAAAGATGCAAATTTTCAACTCTAGACATGAGAGTTCAATTTACATCTTGAAACATCTTAACCAATGTATGCGTTGAAACAAAATACACATTCATCATTCAACATGTAATGAATCCTGATGATATAAAAGGTTATTAACAATGATTATTAAAAGAGCATCATGATTAAATGGTAAATTGATGAGCTAATTGAAGCTGCTTGATTGATGAAAACTAATGGTGACAATATTAGAATCATTAATACAGCTGATCAATGATTTATTTAACCTAAAAATAATTAAAGATTATCCGATAAAAATGGTTGCTTGGATAACAATTAAGTCTTAGATTGGTCAATAATGTCCATTTTATCCAAGTGTAAACAAAACATTCATCAGAATCAAATCAACTATAAATGCAATCAAATCACAAATGTTTCATTTTGTTGAAAAAACTGCTTCTAATACAAATGTAGATTCAGTTGAATCAACCCTGAAACAGTAAACCAACTGAAGCAAATGTTAGATTGAAAATGAAATGTTATAACAAAATATCAATAATAATGCAAAATAATCAACTAATGTTGATTGCCATTGAACTCAACACAATTAGAGTTGAATTTAAAACATTGAAAGTCAAGTGAAACATTTTGAAGTGAAGCTGATGATTGCTTTGAGGCTAAGAAGAGCTTTATTATCATTGAATCAATCTTGATCTACAATTATCAAATGTTGAACTCATAAATTAACTCAATTGAAATGTAGTATTAGCTTGAAAAATTACAACTTACATACCTTTTGAACAGGGAATGATCAGGATAAGAATGGGCTTATAAGGGAAAGTTAATTGTTTCAAGTTAACAAGATATTCAACTTAAGATTATTTTAGTTGATTGAATTGGGTTTCCAAGAAACAAGGAAAAAGGTTAGACTCATCATGACAAAGCTTGAGACTGTATTGTTCACCAGTTGACAATTAAGAGTTGAGATGAACGTAAGCTCATTTAGGGAACATAATGATAACACTTGGTTGAATCAATCAACTCCATTTGTAATTAGCTTGTCAATTTGAAGTTTTAGCCTTTGATCATAAAGATTTGGGTTTGCACAGGAAAGCAACCAGAAAAAATAAGATACAAAGTAAACAGTTACAAAATATACAAAATTGGTTAAACCCGATTGAAACATTATATTCATCGTATTAAAAGCTAATCACAAATCAAGATTAATATTTAATCGCAAGACATTAAGCCTACAACAAGTGAAACACTGTGATACACAATTGAATTAAAGGTAACAATGTGTTACTCTGGTAAAATTGGTAATTCAAGCAAAATAAAACCCAAACCCAATCTATTACAAGACGGAAAAATGTATTTCATAAGAAACAAGTTGAAATTATTATTTGGGTTGCTCATCTAAACAGAAGTCATTTTTCCCAAACCAAATATCAATTATTCAATTCCATTAAATTGTATCACTTCTTAAGTTAATCACAAATGATTAGGACGTGATGTATATTCAAGGCAACAATTTAATACTGACAAAATCACACCAAAGCCACAATATTTTGTTAAATTATTAGTCAGTTGACAACATTAATCTCTCCACTAATACAGCTGTAAGCTCAACTGCCTAACTTGGCTTAGTTTGACCAGAACCAGATTAAAATCTGGTTATTTCTCATGAGTATATTTCATCTTATATTTACTCATCGATATTCAGCTTTTAAACGATTAATTAATGGGTTTCAACATTTGACAATGGTAGACTAAGATTGATGCTAATTAAGTTTAGCTTTCCCAATTTTCAGGTTCACTTCAAATTAATGTCTCTTCACTGTTGAACCTTTGCATTTTACTTGAATTGTGTTGGGTTTATTCACAGTTTATTCATTAGGTATTATTAAAAAATCACTGAAAAACGTTTCAATATTGATTCGATTCTGATAAACATTTCATTTTAAATCAAACATTAGCTTGAAAATACTCTCAGTTCAATGGATTGGTTTGATTTCCCTCTTGATATAATAATGATTGTTGCAGCATCATCTAACCGTTTTCATTTGATTTGATCATAAAAATTGTCTTTCAATTGATGCTACTGATGGTCAATATAGTGTATGAGTTGATTTATCAGAGTCAAGTTATTGACCAAACAGTGAATCCAAAAAATTCAATTGCTTTGGCTGTTTATTTTGTGGTTTTGACTTCAATATACAAAAAAAAGACTAAACATGAACCTAATCGCAGTTATCCCAGACTAGATTTAATGTTGGTAAATTGTTATCCATGTAAACCAATTACAATATTAGGCCTTTTAACCGTATTACCAAATTAATATGACAACCTAATTATCTCATGATAAACTCAATAATCGTTGAACACGCAATGTCAATACAAACAATAGGCAATGTAAATTAGCTTGCAAGTTAACCAACATTTTGTTCATTATTAATATCAGCTACTTTTAAATTTACCTTTTGTATTGTTTCTTGATCAATTCATGAAAGATGAACACACATTTCTGGTTAATAATAACTCTTTTTGAATACAAAAACTGGTAAACCTTTTCAAATGGCTAATCAAATACAATGAAATGAAACCATTATCTAAAAAATTAACATTACAAGAGCAATCAGATGAAACTAAAGGTTGACAAAATTATTGAAAAAGCTTTACCTAAAAGTGTCTCAGATTCAAATATCAGACATTAATTATTTACCTTTTTCACTGTTTTTATAATTAACTTTATGGTCAACATTTGCAGGTTTCAATGTTATTTGTCCTGTTGGGAAGAAGCTTTTTTCATGTGAATTCCCATTCAATAGTACATATTAAAAGACTGATTATGTTGTTGAGGATGTTAATGATGAACTGACAAAAGTATTTTTTCTGGTTAATATTATTGTAACTAATAAACTGAAGAAGGGAAAAATATCATTCTGTCAAGTTTACTCTGATAATCAACAAAAAATTGTTACAATAATCATCTTACATTGAGTTTGTCAAGCTTCAGTATTTATTGTTAACATTAGTGCCATGTTTTTACAGGCAAGTTTCCTAGTTGATGACAATAATCAAGATGATAATAGCAATAATAATGATGATGAAGTCGAGAGTTGAAATGATGTACAAAGTAACCTTTAAGAAGTCACAATGAAAACATTATTCGAGTATGCATCTGCTATGAGCCAAATGAGATGAAGTTTACCTTTTCATTATTTAATGTTGTACATTTTATGAAAAAAGCAATTTACTTCTTAAAACTATTACAATCAATGTAAAAACAGTGCTTTTATGTTTCAATTTTAACCTCAATTTGTATGAGAGGTGAGAAAAAAACAAAGTTTAGGTTTAACTTGTCTTGATGAACCTTTTCAAGTTTACCCAAAAATTTGATTCTGTTATCCAAGAGTAACCCAATTGTAGCACAATTGAATTGGTCAAGACAAAATGTTGTTGAATTAAAAGGTGAAAGGCTCAAGGGAAGGTGATACTTTTGAACATTTAGACGTTAAGTTGTCCAGAATAGAATAAAGAAGAAAGTGTTTCATTGATTGAATTTGGTTCACCTTCATTTCCAACTAAATACAAATGTGATAGAAACAGTACTCAAAATTGAATGGTTTCTTAGGTACAAGCCCCAAGCAGACAAAAACTGACAAATTGTGAGTAAATTTTTAGTACAACTAATGATTGGTTAATTTTACAGAAATTTTCAACATGAAAATTAGATTTTACCAAATATGATTCAATGAAATCTGAGCAAAAACGACAAATAAACAACGAGTAACCAGATATCAGATTTTCTAGGATAAATTGGTGTCTACACTCTATGACATAAGTTTATCCCCTTTTTATTTATTGAGTTTACGCTTTTATTTTCGATATTCAGTACCTGATTTTTTCAATTTAGATTTAGATTAACTTTTAGAAAATTTAACTTTAAACAAAACAATTGCAAACTGAAGGGCTAAATCAGAATTTTGCATTTAAAGTGATAACATTGATTAATTTATGACATAAATTTATCCCATCGTCGAAGTGCAGACTTCTAAGTTCAGTAATCAATTGGTCCACCTCGATTCTGAATTACCTTGATCATTCGATCTTTCATTGACC